ACATCCAGGCTGCGGCCGGTTGAGAAGTTAGGGTGTTGGAGCTCGTGGTCTCCTTACAAGGAAGATATTTCTTGGGTGGTTCTTAAGCAAATTGTAGCGGTTAACCAAAAGCCCTTATTCGAACGCCAAGAAAGGCCTCGAAAAGCCCACCCATCCCTTTGACAACAGCCCGCAGCCTCACAGCAAAGGCAGGGGATCTCCGGTTGAGGGTCGCCCAAAGGCCCACACTGGCAACACGGTTTAGGGTACAGGGTGTGGGTTTTGGTAGGTTTGGAGTGGAGGGGGTGGATCGCTGAACAGGGTATTGAGGATTGACAGGGGTTAGGAATACGTAGGGCTAAGGGGGCTCAATCAGGGGTTGAGGGACTGCGAAGCCCTATACCCTGTGATTGTACATCATGTGCCCTTTTGTTGATCAACGCCGGGAGGGCAGTTCGGATAGTGCAGCACCTTGAATGCAACAGAGGACTAAGCCTGGGCTTGAGAACAAACTTTCAAACCCCAGTGAGCAAATTTGGTTGTGCACCCTAAACCCTAAACCCTCAAGCCGCCGAAGGCTTGCAAGGACACCGGGCAGAACGCTTGGGGTAATGTTGGAGTTCAGGCTTCGGGACCTTCTACACGAAGATGGCATGAACCCGGACATGCCAACCCTTGCGACAACTTGCGGTCTCCGACTATTTGGCTTCCCCTAAACCCTAAACCCTAAACTCTATAAACCCTAAGCCCAAAACCCTAAACAAACCCCAAACACCCTACCTACACTCTGAACCGATCCCCAGGGCCTCACAGAGGCCAGCACCTCATCAAGCTGTTCGCCCGGGGCAAGCTTCATGGGGGTGTAAGGGTTTAGGGTTCATGGTTTAGGGTTGGAGTTGTTCTGAGGGGTCATATGGAGGTTTAAGAAGATGGGGGACCCACAATGTAGAGCCCCAAAGAGTAGGATGCCCATATACTAAGGACCCCAATAATGTACCCCTAATGCAGGAAACGAAACTCCAAACCCTAAACCGCCGAAGGCCTAAACCCAAAACTCAGGACCTTACGACCCCAGACCTAAACCCTAAACCCTAAACCCTAAACCCTTAACCGAGATTGGGCCTTCTTCTTTGGACCATGGCTCTGGGATTCTCCTGCTCAGATCCTAGGGAGTCCAACAACCCGAAAGTCCTTCAGAAACTCCCCGAGGCCTCGATTGCTGGAAACTCAACTCTCTTTCTGTCTTAGGGTTCAGGTTCAGGGTTCGGGGTTTAGGGCTAGGGTTTAGGGTTTAGGGTTTAGGGCTTAGGGCTTAGGGTTTAGGGTTAGGGTTTCGCGTTTCGCGTTTAAGGTTTAGGGTTTATAGGGTTTAGGGCTTAGGGGAAGCCAAAGCCAAAGAACGCGAAATCTGCCTTCAAGACTTGAACCCTCACCTCTTTTGCCTGAGCCTTGAAGTCAGAGACCGTGCAAAACCTTGGTCTGTAAACCCTAAACCCTAAACCCTAAACCCTAAGCCCTAAACCCTAAACCCAGTTCCTCTCCTCTCCACCACCTCTACATCGCCATGGAAACCCTCCCCCTCAATCCTCGGTGCCCAACAGCAAACGTAGGGCTCACCAGTCAGCTCCAGCCTTGGAGTGCCAACACCCTTGTGTAGTGCTTGGGGGGTGGGGGTTGTTTAGGGTTTAAGGTTTAGGGTTTAGGGTTTTAGGGTTTAGGGCTTAATGTTTTAGGGTTTAGGGTTTTAGGGCTTTAGGGTTTTAGGGTTTAGGGTTTGGGGGTTTGGGGTGGAGGCATGTCGTGACATCGGGTGCTTAGTGGGTTTAGGGTTTAGGGTTGAGGCTTTCAGGTTGATTTTGAGGGTTTAGGGTTGAGGGTTGAGGGCTTCGAGCTGAGGAAGCCTCAGCCCTCAACCTTAAACACGCGAATCTTGAACCCTGGGCCGGCACCTTTCAATGGCCTGGGTGATGAGGTGAGGGGGGGGGGGGGGTGAAGCTGAAATAAATCGTGTCATGTAAACTAGGTTGGCACCAACAAGCCCGTCCAACATACGTTCCTGAATATGATCTTCTTAAACTCAACGAGGGAAAATCTCAACATGTCCCAAGGTCCTACCTTGCAAGGGACGTCCTCACCTCCGTCTGTCGCTGCGCTCTGACTTTTTTAGGCGCAGTTCGTTCTTCGTGAGAAGGCCCTAACGGGGACGCCGTCGACCTTGCAAAGTGCACTGAGTCCTTATCCTATAAACCCTAAACCCTAAAACCCTAAACTGAGTAGCCAGCAGCTCATGTCGTTGCTTTGCTGCTCCAATCTCGGCGCAGGATTTGCAGACCCTACATGGCCAATACTCTCTTTAGGTTTTAGGGCTTAGGGTGGAACCCTAAACCCTAAATCCTAAAAACCCCTAAACCCAGCCACACCTTTCTGTTTCGAGCTTTCCAAATACTGCCTCCACCCTCAGCAGTCGACGTTAGGCTTGTTGCAAAGGAGAGTGGCCCTGGGCCAGCTAGGAATTTCCCAAGGGTAGTCACCCTGACTCTGCTCTAGCTAAACCCTTTTTTCCCCAAACTCTAAACCCCAAGCCCTAAACCCTAAACCCGAAACCCTGAACCCTAAACCCTAACTTCCAGTCCCGTCGAGGGCGGGTTTTCGCTGAGACGTGCGCGCAGCAGCAGATGCCTCCGAAGAGGCAGTCGCACGGGCCTCAGGGATCTACGAGGTGTAGGGGTTTGGGGTTTAGGGTTTAGGGTTTGGGGTTTAGGGTTTGGGGCTTAGGGTCTAGAGCTCGGGCTTTAGGGTTTAGAGGAAACTGTGGCTCAGGACCTTTTTAGGCTTTTGGGTTTGGGGGAGGGTGTTGACGTTGACCTATACAAACCCTGGACCCTATAAGCCCTAAACCTCCGCCCGCGAATATGCTGGGACTACACAGACTTGAAAAGTCACACCCGTCCAAAACACGGCGCAGGGAACTGTCATCTTCTAAGCAATCAACTGGGCGTTGAGCCCTGGAAGCTAAACCCTAAAACCCTAAACCCTACACCCGATGAAATAACCCAAACCCTGAACACTGAAAGCCTCATTCTTCAACTAGGCTGCCCAGCACCCTTACAATGAAAAGAGCCGCCTGTTTCTGCTTAAAAACCAACATTAGGGATCGTAACCCTAAACTATATGTAACCCTGAACCCTGAACCCTGAATCCTAAACCCTAAACCCTAAACCCTAAAATACAAAGAGCACTGCTGGGCATCCTAGCGGCTGTTTGCTTCAGACTTGCTGCAAATTCGGGTGCTGTCAGCACGAATTAGCGTACAGTCGCGCGGATCTTTCTTGAAAAGATGCCGCGCCTGGGAATAGTCAGGTGAGCAGGGCAGTACTTCGCATTGTCAGAGCCCTAACAGAAGACCGCAAAATCCAGAAACCCTAAACCCCGACACTAAACTTTACGCACCCTACCTCAGGCCCTAATACAGGTTAATACTTACAACAGGGTTTTGGGGGGTTAGCATATTATAAATTAGAAGGGGACCATAAGGGAATACGATCAGTAATTATTCCGAGCCCGATATAATCTGTAGCGGACTGCTCCCCACCGACTTGGCTGAGACGTTCACAGGGCGAAGTGACAGACGACGCTGCCGTCGCTCTCGCAGGCGATTTTGTCAGATACTGGGGCGGATCTGGGCAGGCTAAACAAATTCAACGTGGGTCCATAGAAACTCAGAATCAGGGTTTCAAAAAGCTGGGGTGCCCTTTTTCGGGGTCCCTTTAAAGGGATTCGATTCTATTTTGGGGGTATAAAAGGGGTACCCCTATTTTGAGAAATACCCCCAATGTCGAAAGCAACCCCAGAAAACGCCTGACTCCAGGATAGTTGTTGGAAGGCATGCCCTCCCCAATCCCGGAAGTACGTCCACTAGGTTGCCCAGTAACTAAGACGAAAACGGATGCAATTTTATGTTGCTTACATGGCTGTTGAGGGGATCTAACCCTACCAAAAGGAATAACAGGAGTACTGGGCATCCTGGTCCAAGGACTCCTCCGAAGGAAGGGCATGAAGTATCGACTGTAGGGTTTAGCGACTCAGGGGTTCTTGCAGACTGTGAAGTTTGGATGCAATACTTACTTCTCCAATAACCAAGGGGGGACAAAGGTTAAACTTTAATATTCCTACTACCCCAAAAAGTTTAAAGTTCAACTAAAGGCGAAGTAAGAATATGAAAGAGGACCGGGATCTTCTCAAATTTGATAGGCCAGGCTCTGTGGCGGTGGCCCTTTGCGCAGCCACAAGGGGGCCTGTAGACGTGACGCGCATCGCCAAAAACTCGGCAAAAAAGCGTAAACCCTAACCAGCAGTAGCATACACCGGCCTAAGCCCCAAACCCCCTAAGCCCTAAACCCTAAACCCTAAACCCTACACCCTAAACCCCAAATGAAACCAATTCCTGTTCTTGACGAGCTGTCAAATGGTCAAAGCTGTTCGATCAAACGGCACCGTGCAGCCTCCAAAGGCATTCAACGCACTATGTGCCGTCGGGTCGAATTGCCAACTTCACTGAAGTTGCAGAAAATAGGGGACCCCGAGTACATATCCCCTCATACATATCCCCTAATACTCGATTCCCTTATCATACAGACCCCAATAAGGTACCCCCTAAGTTCGGGAACCCCCAAAATGCCTTTCTTGTTGGAACCAATGTGATCTGAAAGGTCGTTGCACTTATGCCATGCAAGCACACGTCCCCTGCGGATGGGCATGTTTGAATTCAGTTGGGCTTCTGCTGACTCCAGGCATCACCAAGCCACTCCAAATTAGTTCAGCTTATTCAGCTTAGCAGCTCAGGTCTTTGATTCAGCGTCAGATGATGTCAAACGCTTAACCCTCAACTTAGGGAGGCCCGGAGTTCAGCACCCAGGATCTTCCATCCGGGCAGCCATATTGCTTGGGAAACGCCGCCCTCCGCAGATCGAATGGATCCATGAGAGGTCTTACGGGGAGCTCTGCGAATCTCTTCGAGCCTTTCATCGTTTCCTGAGCTGCTGAGTTCATAAGCACCCAAAAAAGCCTACACTTTTAGTTTTATAGGGGGGGGGGGTATAGTCTCCCAAAAAGTGTAATGTGCTCACTCAGCTCCTAAGCTTCTCAGGCCGCGTCGAGGACCTTGGGATCCGCCGCCCGCGTCGAGGGCGGACGTTTGGAACCGTGGGCTGAAGATCCACCTCGGAGGGCCCCTCAAAACCCTGGGAAGAATACTCCTAAACATGCTCCTTAAGACTCGGAAAAATACTCCTAAGCATGATTCTTAAAGGGAAAAATACTCCTAAACATGCTCCTTAAGACTCGGAAAAATACTCCTAAGCATGATTCTTAAAGGGAAAAATACTCCTAAACATGCTCCTTAAGACTCGGAAAAACACTCCTAAGCATGATCCTCTTAAACCCAGTATAAGGGGAAGCATAACCCTTAGAGCCCTCTGAAAAAAGACTCCTAAACATGATCCTCCTAAACCCAATTCCTAAACATGATCCTCTTAAACCCCCAATAAGGGGAACTTATAGCTACCGAGCCACAGCTGGCATCATGGCCCTCGCCTTCTTCAAGGCCATGGTGCCCGCACGCTGGGCTCTCGTCGCTTGGTCCCCCGAGCTGGGCAGCGCGGGGTGGGATGTCGTGCGATCTGTTTGCCTAGGATGGCACTTAAAAACCCTCTGAGAAATATTCCTGGAATATGATCCTCTTACAACCCTCTGAAAGATGTTGCTGAATATGATCCTCCTAAACCCAAGAAGGGAAAATATCAAAATGTCCCAAGGGCCTAAAGAGTTGCTCCCTTGCCATCAAGGCGGAGACCACCTCTGGAGACACCATCGGCTTCTCGTTTGCCTGCTGCATGCGGCCTCCACACCACTTCTCCACGTTCACCTGCACGCCCTGCACAGGCAAGTGTACGATGTCCACTCTCTGCGAGCCCCCAGCCGCGGCGGTGAGCATGCGATTGCGGATTGCATTCTCAAACGCGTGCGCCGTGCTGGTGTTGACACAGTTCACACTGCCATAGCCCTTGTTTGGAAGGGAGGTGAAGCCGTTCGGCATGTAGCAGAAGCCGTGGTGGAAGCCGGTGACACGCTGCATGTTGTCTGGCACATCCTGGCTTCTGACGGGGACTGTGCCCAAGGAAGGGGTCCATGCGTCCTTCGCTGTGGTCGCCGACCGAGCCAGTGGTGTGAGCCACGGGCTGTCGATGCCTTTGCAACTACTACGATTCTTCTTGATGAGAACCAGACTGGGGTGAGTAGAGTATTTTGCCGGTGGGTTAAAAAACAAAGACAGACTTCCTGCTACTTGAGCCCATAGTTGCTTGCGGTATCTTCGGCCGGAGGAGCCACGGTGTCGGCGGATTGTGCCTCAACCCAAGCCACTGTTTCCTCGTCGTCCGTGTCCGGATAAGTCACAAGCAGTTCTTCTGCAGTGCTTTCCTTATGGTTAACTTCTTGTACTGCAACAGTATATTGCTCAAAACGCCAGGAATTTGACTATCCTTCTTATTTTCACAGCCAGAGTTCACCGCGGGAAAGAGTAACCCTTTAAGGGTGTTCTTGCGGCTCAAGGATGTTCAGGCCTGCCTACTCCCGCAGCAAAGTTTCTGGCCCCTCCTGCTCGTCCCCAAGTGCTGCGTCGGAAGCTCGGGAGACAGGCTCGACGCCGGGCTTCGAGACTTGCTCGAACTTCACCTCGCCGTGCTCCAAGGCCGCGTAGCCGGAGAAGCTGCGGCTGCGACGGAGAGTGCTCTGCGAGGCGCGAGGCTCGGCATTGAGGTTGAGGAACACCCCCGGCAAGGGAGCAAGGCGCCTTTGCATGAAAGCCATGATTGGATATGGTTGTGAGCAAACACGGCTACGCGAGAGCTCTGTTCTGAAACCCTAAAGCCCTAAATCCCCAACTCGAAACCCTAAACCCGCAAAGCTAGATGCCCTTACATCCTGTTGCTATGTCTTCGAGGATCGTCTCGAAAGTTCAGGGTTGAGGGTTTCGGGCTCAGGGCTTAGAATCTTCTTTACCTGGGACATGACATCTTACAAGCCAAGAACTGGACTGTGAACCCTGGAAACTTAAAACATAAACCCTGAACCCTTCAGACCCCATCCCTGAACGCTGAAGGCCTCAACCTCTAACCCTAAGAACCATAAATCTCAAATAAACCCTAAACCCTAAACCCTAAACCCTAAACCCTAAACCCTAAACCCTAAACCCTAAACCCTAAACCTAAATCCTCAAGCTCTTCCTGAGCCCTGCCATTAAGCCTTGTAAAGCCCTAGACCTGATTCCCAACTTGGCGAGCTTCGACCGTTTCAGCCCCTTTTCATCCTTCTGACCCCAAAAGCCCTAAGGGTTTAGGGTTTAGGGTTCAGGGTTTCGGGTTTGGGGTTTAGGGTTTAGGGTTTAGGGTCTACCTTCTGGATAGGGCGGTGTAGGGCCTAGGGTTTTAATTTGGTGGATATGATCCCATGAGAACATCACACGCATGCAAGCCCCAGTGAAGGGCTTCGATGGATCTAGGGTCTTATTATAGGGTTCCTAAGGGAGGGGGGTTCAAGGGGGGTATGTAACTCAAGGTTCTCTAAATTAGACAAGGGGGGGTAGTAGTAATACTCCCCACTACCCCCTGAGGCTCCCGAGGCTTCCCTCAGGTTCCCTAGGTACCTACCCCCCTTGAACTCCCCTTTCTTCCGAACCCTACCTTAGGGCTTCGTAGGTTTAGAGGTTCACGGTGTGACCAGAGCGGGGGTTCGGGGTTTATGGTAGGGTCCGGCTGTTCGATCTCTGCAGCAGCTTTCCGAGCTACGGACGCCTGCAAGGGGCCTCAAACAGCTCCACCTGCCACTCCCTGCCACACACGTCGAGTGCGAGAAAAAACTTTTTGAGCTTCGGGTTTAGGGGTTTAGATGGGTAGATGGGTTTAGGGGTTTAGGGGTTTAGGGTTTATAAGGGTTTTGGGGTTTTATGAGGGCTTAGGGTTTCGGGGTTTTAGTGTTTGCGGGGGCGTAGGGGCTCAGAGCTTGGGCTTCAGTGGAGCCATGGGTGCAGCCTCGTGATTCCTTAGCTCGGACACCTCCTTCGCCTCGGCCCAGTCGGCTCAGGATACAGTAGGGACACGCTCCAATCCACTCTATCCCTTAACCCCGATCCCCTAACCCCAAAACGTTTGGGGTGTTGTGTTCGCTGCTTAGGGGCACTGAACCCTCTGCCGGCTTAAGCCTTTGAAAGCCTTCCAGGAAAGAACCGGCACAGGGTTTAGGGTATAGGGTTTAAGGTTTAAGGTTTAGGGTTCAAGGTTTAGGGTTTGGGGCTTCGGGTTTAGGGAACGGCTGCCTGTGAAGATACGGGGCAATCACTGCCTTGATGGACGTGAAGTCCTCAGTTAACAGGGACCCAAACAACCCTAAACCCCAAGCCACAGACTCTAAACCCGCGACATTGGTTCCATTTGTTCGCGTTAGTTTTCTACCGGGTTGACGAACTAAAGCCCAAACAACTCTGACTCCCTTCCCGTAAAATACCCAGAGCCGGTAGGGCCTGGCCTCTGACGGCACCAAGGTTTAGGGTTGGGGGCCAGTTTAGGGCTACAGGGTCGAGGAGTCTGGGTGGCTGTTTTCAAGGCTGTTGGGTGTTGGGGGGTTTTAGGTTGCCGAGCTTCAGGGCTTCGAGGCTTTGGACACTTTAACTTTAGGGTCTCAGGCAAAGGTTCCAAGGTCGGAATGTGAGGGTACTCTTTCTTGGTTTTTTGAGTTGGTCGGGGATACAAACTGAGGGTCCTTCACCCTAAAGACTATGAGCCTCAATTCAGGGCGCGATCGGCTTGCGCGGTCTTGTTTGGGTTTACCGCCCCCTCCCACGCACAAGGACTTGTCACCGAAATATACAACAGCTACTCTTTTGGCACATTCTGCCCAGTTCCTGAAAGCCATATAGGTACTTGGATAGTGTCTGCCAGCGGCAAGCGCGTGCCGGCAGGACTAGGGTGTGTGAAGTACTTGATTTCTAGGCCACCTGAGCACATCTAAACCCTGCATGCCTCTAAACCCTAAACCCTAAACCCTAAACCCTAAACCCTAAACCCTAAACCCTAAACCCTAAACCCTAAACCCTAAACGTAAACCCTAAACCCTAATCCCTAAACCCTAAACCCTAAACCCTAAACCCTAAACCCTAAACCCCTTAACCCTAGGCTGCCGCAAAAGCTCCTGGGCATCACCCGGCTGCATCATAAGGTGCTTGCCGATCTCCGAGTGGCTCAAGACTACTCGATTCTCTTGATAAAAACAGGGGCCCACCATGCTGAATGCTCTGCAGTGGGGGTGTACGAAAATAGGGGTTCTTAAAATTCCGAAAATAGACCCCAAATAGTAGGATCCCCTTATAAGGGACCCCAATAAGGTACCCCTAGGATCGTAAACCCCCCATATTGGTGCTGACCGTCTGAAACACAACCATCAGAAGTGACCATTGTCGTGAGAGTAGAAGACACGAAGGTCCTTTAAACTTGTCCGTCTCATGTAACATACTGGACAGTGTAGCACAGAAAGCCCTAAAATCCTCAACCTAAAGCCTTGTTTAGGCCTGAACGGTAGCAGAATCTCCGACCTGCATGCTGATGGACGAAGCACAGATCACAAGTCTATGCGCAGCCTTCTGCTGAGAAAGTCGTCGATTTTCTCGAAGATCTGGCTGTTTCAGTTTCGGCTTTAACCACGGGTGCTGCGATACAAAAAACATCCCCAGAGTACCCTAGGGGAAAAAACCAAGGAAGCCCTAAACCCTAGACCCTAAACCCTAAAAGCTTTCTTGTACAAGGGAACCTGGCCCCATAGTCGAAAGGGGAATCCGGGTCCATGTTGGGCCCTAGCAGAGCCTACAGGCGTCGGAAGCAGGAACTACGTGACCTAGGTTTTAGGGTGTAGGGCTTCGGGCATGGGGCTTTGGGCTCAACACTGAAACTTCTTTCAAAATCGAAACTTCTTTCAAAATCTCCGAAACCCTAAACCCGAAACCCTAAACACTAAACCCCGCCCTCAGGGTTCCTAGAAATACAGAAGCCGAAGCCCGCGACCTTCTAGGGCTTAGGGCTTAGAGCTTTAGGGTTCAGGGTTTAGGGGTTAGGGTTCAGGGTTTAGGGTTTGGGGCTCATCCCTGCTCCAACACCCAAACACCCCTAAACCTACAATAGGTTTCGGGTTTTAGGTTTGGTCGGGGCGCTACCCAAAACAAGGTTCTACTCTACCTCCAAGTGGGAGCCGTAGACCAATATCATAATACAGTAGACATATTACATATGTCTACTGCCCGAAGGGTCCTACTGTATCTATATAGTAGGGCCTTTAACGGGCTCCCGTATAGCAGTTTTAGGGCCCAAGTATATGCTATATAGGTATATACATTAGGACCCTAGGGTTTAGGGTTTAGGGTTTAGGATGGTTTAGGGTTTAGGGGCCGGTATGTAAAGTGTCCCTGGGACCTCCTCCACGGAGTCTCTCTCGGGTATCATCCGACCCGGGATTGGGACCTCCACACGGGAGCAGGGTTTACATTCTCAAAGGGTTTCGAAGGTTTTTATCCAGACAAAATCCCAACTACGGCCGGTACTTCGAGCTTATAGAGTTGGGCTATAGTTTCGTTCGTTGAAACAGGCCAACATTGGTCTTAACCCCCAACCCTTCTGAACCCTCCTAAGCCCCAAGCCCCAAGCCCCAAGCCCTAAACCTAAACCCTAACCCCTACACCCTAAACCCCAATTAGACCCAAACCCGTGAATTTTTGCAGGCAGACGGGTCGCGCCTTGCAATATTCCACGCCGTCCGCATCCTCGAAGCCGGTGTAGTACCTGTAATTAAGGGCTGGGTCTCCGAGGCTTACTTTGGGTTTAGGGTTTAGGGTTTAGGGTTTAGGGTTTAGGGTTTAGGGTTTAGGGTTTAGGGTTTAGGGTTTAGGGTACAAAGCCACCTTCCTTCTTGGCTGCACTTAGAAGGGTAGCTATAAATTTAATTTCTAGCTGCCTTATTAAGAAACCCAGTAAACCCAAGAAGGCTAAGGATCTACAGTTACAGTAAAAGCACCACATAGCCTTATTCGCCACGAGGCACTCCGGATTTTTCGGGAATGTACGGTTCAGAGGCCTCAAAGCAGGCAGCCGCGGTAAGCGTTCAAACCCAAAACCCAAAACCCTAAACCCTAAACTCTAAACCCTAAACCCAAAACCCTAAACCCTAAACCCAATACGCTTCATGCCTTGTTGGGCGTTTTGCATCGGTGGCGAAAGGTATACACAAGGTAGAGGGGGGGGAAATTCCCACCTGAAATTGTCTTGGTAAAAACCTCGCACCTGCAATACCTGCAGGCTGCTTCGGCCCTCCAAAATTCGAACCTCCCTACACCCTAAGCCCTAAACCCGGAACCCAAAATGGGGGGAGGAGGGGGGGGGGGCTAGGCACACTATAGGACAAGCACCATCGCGCGGTCATGCTCTAGGGGCAATTTAACAAATCATTGCCCAGCCCATGCAGAGACTGCGCACGGCACAGCCTCAACGGTGCAGGATCTCTTCACAAGCTTGATTTGAGGGATTTCCATAAAGGTACCCTTTTTGGGGGGGGGTCCCTGCAAGGGGGTTCGATTCTTGGGGTAATACAAGGGGGGGTACCCCTATTTTGGGCAATGCCCAAATTTTCGTGAACAGTTTCAAAAGCCACGCATGCAAGGTTTTAGGAGTTGCATGCTTTGGTGTCTTTCGGGCAGTCTTTCTCTCTCTCTCTCTCTCCTAAACCCTAAACCCTAAACCCTCTGCTTTCTAAACTACCACTGCTTGCTGTTGGCCTGTCGTGCCATGTTCGGGCTGTGCCTGGCGAGCGCAGATGTCTTGTTGCAACGGGCCTTCTTCTCTGGACTAGAGGAATCCTTGTGGAGCCCCCACATCTGTGAATGTTGGGTTTAGGGTTTAGGGTTTAGGGTTTAGGGTTTAGGGTTTAGGGTTTAGGGCAAGCAGCGCTTCTTTTTGACTGAGGGTTCATGAGCCGTTCGGTCTACGCGGCAAGCGGAATGTTTCAGCGCTGAATTGAGGCATGTCTCGAGGTCTGTAGATCGCTTCATACCTCGTAAGGTTTAGGGTTTAGGGTTTAGGGTTTAGGGTGTAGGGTTTAGGGTTTAGGGTTTAGGGGTTCAGTGCCTCTGGCTGGTCACACTTACTTCCAAAAATGCACCACGAAAAAACTGCGACACATGACCCTGAAGGACCGCAATTAACTCGCAGGATTGAACAAGACTGAAGGAAAAAACAAGCTTCAAAGTTCAGAATTGCAGAAGTCGGATGTATCGTCATCTAGCCCGTTCAGAAATGCAGGGCCGCAAACGCCCAAAACAAGCACTTCCGGACTCCCGGCCCCTGATGCCCCACGATGCTCAGCATGCCCATCTTTTCAGAATGCTGAGTTAAGGGTTTAGGGTTTAGGGTTTAGGGTTTAGGGTTTAGGGTTTAGGGTTTAGGGTTTAGAGAATCATAGCGGGTGGGGGGGGGGGGGGGGGGGGGGGGGGGGGTGGAGAGAAGCAAACAGGTACCCAGCTACAGTGCCCCCGCCAGTAGCAATTTCCGAGAAACCACGAGCGAGTGGGGTCTGCTGAGGTGCGAACACTATGTCCCGGAGTAACTGATAATAACAACGACAAGAATAAATGATACTACTAATCATCATAATAGGAATAATGGGGTTCATGTGGGTGGTAAGATGTAGGGTTTGGTGTTTAGCGTGTTTAGGACATCTTACCCGTCCAGCATTCCCAGGCGAGCTGAGGCCAGCCTCTGGGATGATAAGGAGATGCTACCCCAAAAGGTTCACTACGCACTAAGTTCTGCAAGATGTTAGGTTTGTTGAGAATCATGAAGTTTATCAAATAAATGCCCCTTTGGGGTTCCCCATTCTAGCAGAGATATGCGGTTCGGAGTCTCTAGTTGCAGGGCGGATTAGAACTCGAGACAGGATCCACACGCAGGCGCGTCTCCCAAACCCGGAACCCGAAGTAGCACCACAGACCTGTAGACTCTTAAACCGTTTTAAAACCCTGCAAACCAAACAAAAGCTACAAGCCCAAGCAAGCATCTCGAAGGAAGACCATGTATAGTTCTCAAGTGTCGGGTTTGTACCCCAAACCATCGGGCAAGCTGCAGTGCTAAACCGAAAACCCTAGACAGGGCTCAGGGATTAGAGTTTAGGGTTCAAGGTTTAGGAATCCCTAAACCCTGCCGTTCCACGGAGGTCGCTGACGGAGGATGAGGGGTTGGTCGCAATGTCTGATGTGGGGTTTGGGGTCTACAGGCCGTGCCTTGCTGAGGTTGAGGGATTCTAGGTTAATTAAGGGATTATAGGTTCAGGGTGTGTAGCTTCAGGGTTTGCAGGTTAAGGGTAAGATTTGGGGCTGGCCTTGAGGCGTAAGTGTAGTTAAGGGCGGAGGATCGTAACAGCTTCTGGGTGGGCGCCTTCATAAGGACATTTTGGGGGAGGGGGGTTGGGATTGTGAACATGAAGGCAAACATCCCAACTTGTGAGTCGTCCGCCAGGACCCACGTGGTATCCCTGGGGCAGAGGCAGCTGTCCACAAGACACGAGGCACGTGCCTCATCCTTAACTCCTAGAGTGCGATACATATATATGTATATACATAGATATATATATATATATTTATTTATTTATTTATATGTACACCTATATATATATATATATATATATATAAGGCATGAAGCATCTTAGGGCTTAGGGGTTTAGTGTCTGCCTACATATGTGTATATATATATATATGTGTGTGTGTGTGTATCGATTCCTCATAGTTCCAGCACCAAGACGGGCCCATCATGTAGCAAATTCCAAGAAGCCAGCGGAGGTCCAAAATCTAGCCCGAATGGCCAAAACCCTGCACCCTAGCTTTGGCATGCGTTCTCCGCCCCAGGCCCGCCCCAGCAGAGCTAAATCACTGCGCAGCGCTCGCTTGCCGCGTTCCCGTGTGGGCTTTCCTGGGAGGTGCAGTGTGGCTCTACTCAGGACTAAGGGTTGAAAGGGGCTTACTAAAACCGAATAAACCCTAAACCCTATTATAAGGGATTAAACGGGCTCAAAGGATGAAAAGCTTTGAGTTTGGAGCTTAGGGTTAGGCATCTCGGGGGCTTGCGACTAGACTAGGATGGTGCTCAAGACATCCTGACAAAGACTCCTGAAACTAACCCTCTGAAGCCAATTAAAGGGAAAAAGGCAAAATATCCCAAAGGGCCGACCCGCCTACCTAGTATGCATATTGGGGGTTCTTGGGCTTCGGTTTGCAAGTCTTAGGGCTTAGGGCTGGCAGCCGTTCTTGCTGCAGGTCGTAAGGAGCAACCTGGCCCTTCCGATGCAATAAATTTCCCAAGGCATGAAGCGCCAGGGTTTAGGGTTTAGGGTTTAGGGTTTAGGGTTTAGGGTTTAGGGTGTAGGGTCGACAGTTTGGGGTTTAGGGTTTCGGCTCTGCAGGGCGGGGGTTTCGACAACACTGGTGTGCAATGACGGCGCGCCTCCTAAAGACAGCATCGCCCTCCATGCAAAGTTATCAAAGTTGAGGGTCCCCGTAGGACGATTGCCACAGTACTGTGGCTGCACACACACACACACATGCAGAGAAAAACAAAAAAAAACGAGCACACACACACACACACAGAGACACAAAGACACACCGACACACTGACACGCTGACGCACTGACCCACTGACACCCACTGACACCCACTGACACCCACTGACACCCACTGACACCCACTGACACCCACTGACACTTTTTTGCACTTGCACTTGCACTTGCGCTTCCACCGCTCCAACCCTGAACCCTAAACCCTAGGCCCTAACCCTAAACCCCCCTCCACTGTTGCTGGCTCAAGGCTCGACAGCGCCCAGCTTTGTCTCAGCTTGCTGTCCCTCAGAGCGGCTGGGAATTAGGCTAAGTTTAGGGTTTAGGGTTTCGGGTTTGGGGTTTAGGGTTTTAGGGTTTGGGGTTTAGGGTTCCGGGTTCGTTTGAGATTTGTGGGATGGTACTGTAGGGACTTGACAAGGTCTGGGTGGTTCCCGGGTGTCCGATCGCTCGGAACCCGAAACCCGGAACCCTAACAATTTCGGGTTGAGGGTTTAGGGTTTAGGGTTATCCTTAAGCCGGCAGAAAGTCTCACAAAGCCCAAACCTCGAAGCCCACGCTGAGTGCTGGGCCATCGATCATCATCACCTCCGGCGAGGCATCCTCCTTTTTGGAGGGCTGGTGTTCTGACGTCCGGGGCAACTCTCAGCACACCATGGGTTTCCTACCACCCCCCTCTACTCTTACCCCCCCCCCCGCCCTCCCCACCCGCCCAGGTCTCCCCCACAATTCAGGGAACCTAGGGGGGGTTAGTAATTGAGGGTAGGAAAACCCGTAAGTGTAGCGTCCTTACTCTTAGTTGTCCAGGTTCAGAGGTTAACCTGTGGGACTATACGGGGTTTATATTACCCCAAAACGGTTAAAAGGGTACCTATACTCTACTGCTAGGTTTTTGTCGCGGCCTTCGTCAGCCCTAAACCCCTATGAATTCAGCTCCCTCTTCTCGGGCGAGTGGGGCCAGCGGCTAACGGATAGCCGCTCTTTGGAGAACCGATTCAATGGGATGTTTCCCGGGTACACGGCACTGTGTGCATATGAAAGGGTGCAAATAGCATACGGTACTACTTCCCCAAGACTTCAGGAGATTCTCAAGTTGGAGCTCTCACAAAGGCCCTCCAGCGCAAGAGCGCAAGACAGATCACCAGCTCAGAGATGGATATGTGGCAACTGCTCACCTGAAGGTGCTCCAGACACATCAGGCTTCAAGGTCCCAGAGTAGCCTCGAAAATACACAGCCTGCCCTTGTTATTTGTAAGGTGGTTTCTACTGGAACCCTAGACACCCCTAAACCCGAAGTAAACCTAAAACCTAAACCCCCCCAAGAAAGGGACAAGGGCAAGACTGGGAAACCGAAGTTTATAGCAGCACCCCTTTTGTCTTCATTGAGAATTCAGGGCGTTTACCTGAATGAACCGCATTTGGGGCCTCGGCTGAACCCCCGACAGAAGGGAACACAGGCCCCCGCTCGACGTCCTACCTAGACAGCCCAAGATCTTTTCCACAAGCAATATAACGTAGGGTTTAGGGTTTAGGGTATCACCAGGACCCCTCTAGCCTCAACTGGGGGCTATCGTGGGAAAGTTTCGATCGATGAAACGGTTCCGAAAAGAAGGGTTTGGGGTTTAGGGTTTGTGGTTTCGGGTTTGGGGTTTAGAGATTAGGATCTTTTGCTGTAGGAATACCCTAAAGGAATACCCTAAACCCTAAACCCTAAACCTTAACCCTAAACCCCAAACCCTAAGCCCTAAACCGATTTTAGGGGCCCGAAGCTATGAAGTCCTCGGGTGTCTGCTTGCCGGCGAGCTCGTCCTGGTCGGACTGATGCTCCTGACGACGTAGCAAGGACCCATGATCCTTTGCCTGCTTGGGTGCAGGGTTTAGGGTTTAGGGTTTAGGGTTTGGGGTTTAGGGTTTAGGGTTTAGGGTTTAAGGTTTAGGGTTTAGGGCTTAGTTCATATCTTTTGGGCTGGGATGACCAAGTCCAAGTAGCCCTCACTCACTCACTCACTCACTCACTCACTCACGCATCTGAGGTCCGAAACAGTCTGCACTTTCCGCGTGCTGCTGCCGCTGTGGCAACAAGAACATGCGAATTTGGCTTCGAGCATACCAAGAAATAAAGACTTACAGAGGGCTGGGTCGGGTCTCAAAGCACTTATGTGGCTGCGCATCCTTCTGCCTGCGATCGTATCCCTCCTTAACAGTTAGGAGTCAAGGCTGTGCGGGGGGGGGGGGGAGGAAAAAAGGTCTGAACCCTACTTCCATCAGGGCTACTGGGGAGACGAAACCGCCACAATCCTACCTGTAACTCGCCCACCCTCGGGTTAGTAGGAGCTACACATAAAACTACAAAGTATATGCCATCAAGCAAGAGGTTGATGGAGTTACAGGTAAACCCTAAACCCTAAACCTTAAATCCGCAACTTGAACCCCAAACCCTGATCCCTAAACCCTTAACCCCTAACCGTCCTCCATGTCACTGTCTGGCGAAGGAGGCGGCGGGATCTGCCACCATCAGCAGGCTTGCAGGTTCATTTGTAGTAAAAAGGCAAGGGCTGTAGGGCTTTAGGTCTTGAGGTGGGAAGAAACTGCACTGAGCCGTACGAACTACCCCACGGAACCATAAGCCCGAAATCGCCTAAACCTTATAAGCCCTAAGCCCTAAGCCCTAAGCCCTAAGCCCTAAGCCCTAAGCCCTAAGCCCTAAGCCCTAAGCCCTAAGCCCTAAGCCCTAAGCCCTATAGGCCCTAAGCCCTATAAGCCCTATAAGCCCTATAAGCCCTAAGCCCTATAAGCCCTATAAGCCCTATAAGCCCTATAAGCCCTATAAGCCCTATAAGCCCTATAAGCCCTATAAGCCCTATAAGCCCTATAAGCCCTATAAGCCCTATAAGCCCTAAGCCCTATAGGCCCTAAGCCCTATAACCTATAAGCCCTAAGCCCTAAGCCCTAAGCCCCAAGCCCTTAGCCCTAAGCCTTAAGCCCTAAGCCCTAAGCCCTAAGCCCTAAGCCCTAAGCCCTAAGCCCTAAGCCCTAAGCCCTAAGCCCTAAACCCTACCCATGAGCCTTCAAGTATATGAAAGGTTGGTGTGGCTGGGTTCAGGCTTTGGGGCTCAGGGTTTTGGACTAGGTGTCCATCGCGCCTAGGTAGATAGACTCCAGGGTCTTGGGGCTTCGGGGTTTTCAGGCACTTGGCCAGCACGATGCGGCAAACGAACGATTGGGCCCATGGGGGGTGGCTTCCGTCAAGGTGCATGGGCAGTCGCAAGCAGATTTGGGTTTTTAAACCCCCTAAACCCGAAACCCTTAACCCTAAACTCTGATCCACAGGCTTCCCGGCCTTCCCTGTGACTGTCCACTCCCCATCTTGGGTGAAGCAGATCTCGTCGTCATCATCCTGCCCGCACGCGGCTTTTGTTTTCGAATTCAGGTCTGAGAGCTTAGGTGCTGCTCGACACTTGATGGTAGCTAAAAAGACTTAGCTCCAGGTACGGGTGGAGCTGGACCACAAGAAACCCTAAACCCTAAACCCTAAACCCTGAACCCTAAACCCTAAACCCTAAACCCTAACCCCACGACGTGGCCGCCTCCGTCTTCTCCAAGATCGTCAGCATATACATGTCCTGAGCTCCAAGGTTGGCTCTGAAAACCTTTGAAAGTGCATTCCCACGTGGGGCGATGAAGCGTTTAGAGTTTAGAGTTACCAGGGCTTAGAGTGTGGGGTTTAGGGTTTCGAGTTTACCGTTCGGGGGTTCAGAAAGCCTGAGGAAGGGCCGCTGGAAGCCGAATTGGGATCTAATCAGGGTCTTAAAGGATTCGGGCTTAGCTCTAAACTTTGGATGGGGGGGCTCAGGGCTTGGGGATTAAAATAGGGGCCTTAATAATTAGAATGGGATTTTGGGGTTACTAGAGTATAATAAAAGGGCCATAAAAAAATAATATTCGTAATTATTCTGACCCCTACATTAGTTGAGTTCGGGACTTTGGAGGAGGATTCGGGTTTGGAGTGGAGTGGGGTAGTGGAGTGGAGAATTGGCCGAGGCTCACGCGCCTGGCCTAACTAACAAAAAGGGGACATCTCCGGCCGAAGCTAAAGGTGCCAGCCCGCTGGAACAACGCACGAAGCAACAAACACAACAGGCAGCAACCACGATGACGATCACGGTACCCCTCTTCCCCCTCCCCAAAAACAAGAAAAGGTGGGCTTCGGTAATTATACATCCAAACCGCCAGGTCCGTCGCCCTGACCGACTACGCGTGAGCAATCAAGAGGGGACAAAAAAGCAAACGCGTGCGACACGCAGCCTGCGGTGACTACGAGCTGTGGTTTGCGCTGTTTTTGGCATACAGAACCCCACTGAAACTGAAACTGAAACCGATTTGGGGGTGAGTTGTTTACAAACGCATACACTACTGCGGTCAAGGCGTACGCGGTGGCCATAGCCGTTCTCCAGCCGCCAGAAGAGGAGCGGAAAAGGACACAAAATAACAGCCCCTTTCCGCGCACCTCCCCCCACCCCCCCCCCCACCCCCCAACCCTGCCTGGGAAAAAAAGACCCCTTCCCATTGTTCTCGCGGGGGGGAGGGGCCCTATTAATCAGAAGCACGGAAAAGTTTGTCCCCCTAACCACGAGGTTTCGGATTTTGGGGTGGAGGACAGTGGTCGCAGCACGAACAATGTTCGCTCGGGGTGCCCCTCACGACCTGGCATATGCCTGCTCTCCCTTCGATATGCGCTCGCAATGCAGAGAATGGGAATAGGAGAGGCGCAAATGACACCGATCAGCTGCAGGACGAACAGTTCGGAGCGCACCATGACATGGCCGCGGCGCAGGAAGAGGAGGTGAGCAGCAAGCGCCCACCCCGACCTGAGTCTAGCAGAGAGCTACCGGGGGCAACCCTTTTAAGCTGCCGTGCCCACGCAAAAGTTGTTGATCCGAAAGGCGCCCTCTGTATTCCAGCCTCATCCGGCGGAGGGCTGTGGCATGCTCAGGATGCCATCCAACGGAGCTCACACCCGTGTTCGAGCTAAGCCACGTATTGAACAACTCCAACGTGGCCGGCCGTATATGTCTTGGCCAGCGGGTTCCGGTGCTTGGAAGGCTTATGTTTTTGCCTCGTCATGCGAGCTTTCCATTATTTGAGGGGTTTTATTAATCCCAATTTCTCGCCTGAATTCCGGCCCCGTAACGGGTAGGTCAGGAACGAATGATTTGGGCACTGATCCTAGATGAAAAGTAGTAAGGAATCGCAGTTTTCTGCTGCAGCCTCCAACTCCAAAAACAGGAGAGGATGTGGGCAATTGCTTGCTAAGCAAGTCAAACTCTCTGCGCTGATCGTCATGGTGGCTCCGCCGGGCTTTCCAGTATTTTAGGGGGCTTTTATGAATCCCAAATTCTCGCCTGAATTCCGGCCCCGTAAGGGGTAGGTCAGGAGCGAATGATTTGGGCAATGATGCAATGATCCTAGATGAAAAGTAGTATGGAATCGCAGTTTTCTGCTGCAGTCTCCAATTCTAGAAAATCCGAGAGCACGCTGTATCATTACTTAAGCAATTCAAAATCTCTGTCCTTCTCGTCCTCGCAGGCCGGCGGTCTTTCCATCATTCCTGCAGCCTTCAGCAACTCCAAATTTTTGGGCCTCCCAAATCTTTTTCTTTAAATCCCGGGGGTTTCCTTGTGCATTTTGGAGCCTTTGGCTCCCGTAATGGACAGTAGTCTTCCCGGAGGTTTGGGCCAAAAAAAAAGTTCCGTCAACAACAAATGCTTTTATTAATCAGATCTTGCATTAATTTGAGCACCGGCCAGCGCTCCGTGATCGACGTTAATCCACAAAACCCTGCACAAGCCTGCGCGCCTCCCGCCCGATGTACCTGGTGTGCACGTCCGCGATGCGCACGGCCTGGGTGAGGGCCAGGTCCCCGATGTCCCCCTTCAGATCCAGGCTGGCAAACTCGTCGCGAGCATATTGAGACGGGGAACGGTGAAACCTCGAGCTGATGGTCCGGAGCTGCCTTCCCTGTTCGGCCAGCCTCTCCAGCACGGCACGCAGCTCGCTCGTGGCCATGGCTCCGAAGGAAACCGGGCTAAGCACAGCATCTTGGATCCCAGAATCTTGAGCCAAAATGGCTTGAAGTTGAGGAAACTCAGGCGCACCTGGAATCCCAAACTCGGTTTTGGGATTTCCCGTAGCGCCTCTAGCCTTCGGGCTTGGGGTTTCCTCGACTCAAAGTCCCTAAGCCCCCAGCATCCCCCTCAGCCCAAAGCCCCCAACCCAGAAGCCCGAAGTTCTCTACTTTTGGACCCCAGTACCCTAAACCCTAAACCCTAAACCCTAAACCCTAAACCGGACATAGCTTCAAGCCGGACGTGCAGGCTTTAGGCTTAAGGGTCTGGGGTTTGAGGGTTGAAGAAACCAGTTCCGCCCGAGCTGCCAAGAACATGTCCGACGGCTTGCACATGATGGAGCAGACAGGGCAGGTCCTTTTTTGGGTCTACCCTATAAGCCCGAAACCCCTAAACCCCTAAACCCCTAAACCCGTAAACCCCAAATCTCTGAAACTCGTAAAACTCTACACCTAAGCAAATATAACCCTAAACCCTAAAGGTTTCAGGGGCGCAAGGGACCCTAAACCCTATAAACCCTAAACCCTAAACCGGCTTCGGGGCTTTCGGGGGGCTCGGGCTTCCAGGGCCAAGGTTGAGTCCCCCTATGAGGCACCCAAGCCCCAAGTTCAGCTTGGGTTTAGGGTTTAGGGTTTAGGGTTTAGGGTTTAGGGTTTAGGGTTTAGGGTTTAGGGTTTAGGGTTTAGGGTTTAGGGTTTAGGGTTTAGGGTTTAGGGTTTAGGGTTTAGGGTTTAGGGTTTAGCTTCAGGGAGTTGAGGGAGTGCAGGGAGTTTGGGGAGTTTAAGGGGCCCCAAAAAAAAGAAGTACCCCAAGTGCTGGCGCGGAACCAGCGCTTGTTAAAGGCAGCCATGCCCTTGTTAATCTCAATGTAGGCCTGCTGCAGGACTTTTCGGCCGCAAAGCGGCAAAACTTCCAAAAGCTGGAGGCCTTCAACCCAAACCTTTGCGGTTTAGGGTTTAGGGTTTAGGGTTTAGAGTTTAGGGTTTAGGGTTTAGGGTTTAGGGTTTAGGGTTTAGGGTTTTGCTAACCAGGCAGGTTGGGTTTAGGGTTTGTGGCTCAGGGTCTGCCGTGGTTTTTCCTTTTTTCTTTTGTTTGGGGGGGGGGGGGGGGGCCCTGGAGAAGGCAAACTTGAACATGAATCCGATGGAGTGTCTGGGCGCCCTCAACACTCAACCCTAAATCCCCCAAAAAATAAAGCCAACCTCTCCACCCGAAATCAGCCTTAAACCCTGAACTCTGAACCCTAAATCCTAAACCCGAAACCCTAAACCCTAAACCAAACCCTAAACCCTAAACCCCAAACCCTAAACCCTAAACCCTTAAATGGGCCCTGCCAGGTTTCCCCCCCCCCCCCCCCGCTCAGCCCCGAAGCCCTGCAACCTCTGAAGTCCCAAAAGGAAACAACTTAGGGTTTAGGGTTTAGGGTTTAGTGTTCCCACCTTGTACTAACATTCCCTATTCAGGTCTTGTAAGTATAAAGGGAAGCTCCCAAGAACCACTTGATGGACCCTTGCAAACCCCAAAACTCTAAAACACAAAATAGTCACAACTAAACCCCCTAAACCGAAAATCCCTAAAGCCCTGCCCCGAAGAACCCTGAAAGGCCTTTTTGTAAAATACCTGAAACCCTAAAACCCCAAACCCTAACCACCCCCTTCAACCTTGAGGTCGAAACACTGCAGGTGCGCACACCTGCCAGCCGAAGATGTGGGTTCTCTGATTCGAGAGCAGGGTGCGGATGTAGGGTTCTCGGCTTTTAAAACCTTGGGGTTAAGGACTCAGATCCTAAGGTTTAGGTTTAGGTTTAGGGGTAAAAAGCCCAAGCCCGAAACCTTAAGCACCCTATGTAAACCCTAAAGCCAGAACCCTAAACCCTAAACCACCCTAAACCCTAAACTTTGGGGAAAAGGGTTTAGGGCTTCAGGGCTCCGGGGGTCCTCAGGGGTGCCGCTCTTCGGCAGGGAGGGGGGTGGGGGTTAAGTTCAAGGTGAGTGTCGGTTCTGAGGCTTTAGGCTCGGGGGCGTCTATAAGATTCGGGGTGTAGGGTTTACCTTAGACTCCTGAGCCCTCTAGGAATTGAGGGTTTTTAGGTCTCGTGGCCTGGCACATGAAAGCTGAAAGGGTTTGAGCGCCTGTGGTATCTACCTGCGACCCCCAAACCCTACAAAATTGGAGGTTGCAACTCCCTAAATATAGGGCATACTCCCAAAAAAAGTACAGTAGGTATAGGGAGCCTCAGGATAGCACTTGAGGATTGTGTGGGCCCTAAACCCTAAGCCCTACAAGCCCTACAAGCCCTACAAGCCCTACAAGCCCCAAGCCCTATAAGCCCTAAGCCCCAAGCCCCAAGCCCCAAACCCTAAACCCTAAACCCTAAACCCTAAACCCTAAACCCTAAACCCTAAACCAACCCTGAACAGGTCGACCTACGCTCTCTGAGAGGCGCCTCTCACCCCGCACCGGCGTATGAATCCGCTCGTGCGTCAGAGGGCCTGGGGCGTCTGGGGTTTAGGGTTTAGGGTTTAGGGTTTAGGGTTTAGGGTTTAGGGTTTAGGGTTTAGGGTTTAGGGTTTAGGGTTTAGGGATTACCCAAAACGCTAAACTCCAGGATTCAGGGTTTAGGGTTTGGGAGTCAGAGTGTGTAGGGATTAGGATTCAGGCTTGGGGTGCTTGGGGCGGGTGAGCCCTGCAGGGTCCACGGCGTGTAGTTTGCCTCGAAGACGCAGGGTTTCTTAGGGCTCCTTGCAGGCTCAGGGCCTAAGGGATTGAGCCCCAAACCACAAAGCCCCAAGCCGAGACCAAGACCCTCAAACTCTAAAACCCTCTAAACCCCCTAAACCCTAAGCCCTAACCCTCGACCCTAAACCCTAAACCCTAAACCCTAAACCCTAAACCCTAAACCCTAAACCCTAAACCCTAAACCCTAAACCCTAAACCCTAAACCCTAAACCCTAAACCCCAGGGCCGGAAACCTGAACCCTAAATCCTAAACCCCAAGCCCTAAACTTTTTTTGCCCCATGGGCACATCAGGCTCATTCTGTGGCTCCAGTTCTAGTGCCATGAACTGGGATGTCCCCCCCTATACTAACAGTCCTAGCCCTAAACCCTAAACCCTAAACCCTAAACCCAAAACCCTAAACCCTAAACCCTAAGGCTAGGGTTTAGGGTTTAGGGTTTAGGGTTTAGGGTTTAGGGTTTAGGGTTTAGGGTTTAGGGTTTAGGGTTTAGGGTTTAGGGTTTAGGGTTTAGGGTTTAGGGCTCAGGGCTCAGGGTTTAGGGTTTAGGGTCCGTTTAGGGTTTAGGGTTTCGGGTTTCGGGTTTAGGGTTTAGGGACGATTTCCGGCCCTGGGCCCTCAACTCCCTACCCCAAAACCCGGAACCCCAAACACATGCTTGGAAGAGCAAGAGAGCCCCACCACTTCATGATGTCGACGCCTTTTACTTTGTGGAGGTGGCAGATCCTTAAAACCCTAAACCCTAAACCCCAAACCCTGAACCCTACCCTAAACCCTAAACCCTAAACCCTAAACCCTAAACCCTAAACCCTAAACCCTAAACCCTAAACCCTAAACCCTAAACCCTAAACCCTAAACCCTAAACCCTAAACCCTAAACCCTAAACCCTAAACCCTAAACCCTAAACCCTAAACCCTAAACCCTAAACCCTAAACCCTAAACCCTAAACCCTAAACCCTAAACCCTAAACCCCAACTCCTAAACCCTACACTCTAAACCCTAAACCCAGACCAGAGTTCAAGCTGAGGGGTGGTCAGGTTAGGCGGCACTTGTTGGAGCCTTCGGCGGTCACCTGGCGTTTTGGGGGCTTTGGGTTTCAGGAAACCCAAGTTCACAGGCCGTGAGACGCCGCTAGAAGTGAAGTTATAAGTAGGGCAACTAGTGTTGTACAAGCATAAGTACAAGCACAAACAGGAATATGTAAATAGATGAATGCACTCAAATAAATATGTATGTACATATGTAGAATTAGATGAGGCCCCCTGGCTGGGTTCAATTGGCATCCCGAAGCCCGAACCGAATGGTCTCGGTGTAGAGGAGCTTCATGTTTTCTAAGTCTCGGAAGAAGCAAAGGGTAGCAACTTTGCTCGAGACAGGTGTTGCAAGGGAACCTATCCCAAGAAAGAATGGGAATAAGGGCCCTCCAGGCATAGCGTTGGGTTGTTTTTTGGGACAACAAGATGCGGGCATCCACAAGTGAGGCTTTTGGTGCTTAAGTGCGGAAAAGGGCCCGGACACCCCCACACCCCCCAGGGCTCCCCCAAGACACTCCAAAAGCAGACTCTTGCAGGTAGTTCAGGAACCCTGAACCCTAAGCCCGAACCTGCATCCCTCAAACAGGGGGTGCAGGGTCCCATACAAAACCGTGACAGCCCTTGGCTGGAGAGAACGGATGCAGATCACTATCTGGATGAAAGCAAGCACTACTTGGGAGAGGTTGGGCCTAAGCTCGTCTAAGCTCATATTCTGTCAGCTAGGAATGACAAGCGCGCCTCTTGTTGCTTGGCAGAGAGTATAACATGTCACGGAGCCTACTAAGTATTAATTGACTTGAGGCCAGGTGCTGCGAAACAGGTGCGGCAACTTGAATGTCAGCACGTGCCTCATCGGAAGAGGCCAACAATGCGGAGTTCCACAGTAGCTCCTGCCAATATCAGAGCAGGACACCCTTTCGGTGCAAGACACCCTCTTGGTTCATTTTTTTTGGGTTTTCCTGTCAAAGTGGTCTGAGACATTCCTTGGGTGCAAGACACCCTCTGATTCATTTTTTTGTTTTCTGTTAAAGTGGTCTCAAGACACCCTTTCGGTAAAGACACCCTCTGGTTCATTTTTTTCCGTCTGTCAAGTGGTCTTAAGACATCCTTTCGGTGCAAGACACCCTCTGGTTTTCATTTTTTGGGTTTCCTGTCAAAGTCATCTTGAGACACCCTTTCGGTGCAAGACACCCTCTGGTTCATTTTTTGGGTCAAAGTGGTTTCAAGACATCCTCTGGTTCATTTTTTTTGCTTTTCCTGTCAAAGAGACATTCTTTGGGGCAAGACACCCTCTGGTGAGTTTTTTTTGGTTTTCTGTCTAAGCCCGATAAAACCCTAAACTCAACCACCTAACCCGCGCCGGAAACAAGATGTTGCAGATTGAGGGATTGGGTTGAGGGTTTGTCTAATGAATTCTTGTAAATTGTCTAAGAACTCTAGACAAACATCAGTATGGCAGAAAGGAAAGTATTGGGTTCTTATCTTAAGGCAAAAGCCCCTAAGGTCTAAGAACTAACTCACCCAAAAGACAGGTGTTGTGTTCTCTTTGGGTTAGACCCGAAACACTGAACCCTAAAGCCAAAATTCGAATTTCATAAGGTTTAGGGATACAGCTGCCTAGACAAACCCTGAACCCTAAACCCTGAACCCTAAATTTAAACCCTGAACCCTACATCCTAAACCCTAAACCCTAAACCCTAAACACTAAACCCTAAACCCTAAACCCTAAACCCAAAGATCTCCTGGACCATCTTCTTCCCGCCGTCCTCACCTGGGCACACTGTTTGGTTTCGGCTCTGCTTTGCAGCCTACTGTCGGGGATTAGGGTTTGGGGTTTCGGGGTGTGGAGGGCTTAAGGGGGTCCGGGTTCAGGTGTTTCGGGGTCTTTTCTGTGCAGGAAAGCATCAGACATAACCATTTAGGGTTTCTTCCGGGGGCATGTTGGTAAAGGAACTTAGTTATAGCTACCATAGTAAAGACGAAGGGCGTAGGGTTTATAAGGTTTGCGGACAATGTACTCCGATGATTGTAGCATCCCTAAACCCAAAACCATAAACCAAAAACCTTGAACCTTTACTTAGAATTCCAGTGCTTGGCCCGTTGTGGACTGATGAAGCTCAAGCTCCGATCTCTTATGAACTTATTTTTGTCGATGGTTGCCTATAGATATAACCCCACAATGCACTCACGAGGCTCAAGAAACCCCCTCGACCCCCCCTCCCCCCTACCCTAAACCCTGAACCCTGAAAACCTCACCCCCAACCCACAACCCCCCCCCCCCCCCAACCCTTAAGCCGTAAACCCTAAACTCTACCACCCCCCCCCCCCCCCAAAAAAAAAAAAAAAAAAAAAAAACTCTGAAGCCCTGAGTTTCCTGAGCTGAGGTTGCCACTGACTGGGCGAATCGACTTCCGCATCTCCACCACCTGGGAGGGTTTAGGGTGTAGGGTTTAGGGTTTAGGGTGTAGGGTTTAGGGTTAGGGCTTAGGGGTCTAGGGTTTAGAGCCCACGTGGGCTGTAAAGGTGGTTAGAGGGTTTAGGGCATAGGGGTTTAGAGCCGTTGTAGGGCTTTCGGGTTTAGGGAAATATGGGGGTCTAGGAGGTTTCTTAGGAGGTGAGGTGGCTTGTAGGGCAATAGGGGTTTAGGGGCTTAGCTTAGGCCCTAAACCCTAAACCCTAAACCCTAAACCCAACCCCTAGGGGTTCAGTGGCTTTAGGGGTCTTAGGATCATAGATGGTCCAACCCCTGCCGCGCTCGCGTGGGTGCAGGTAGGGTGTTTTGGGGGGGGGGGGGGGGGTTGTGGGGTGGCTCGGGCCGGGCGGTGGGGCTTGGGCGGGGTTCGGCGGTCGGGCTAGGTAGGCCGCTAGGGCTTTCTCCGGAACCGATGTTTCGGTCCTTGCTTTGCCGCTAATTACTTTGCCATTGCTTTCTTCGAGGATTTCAAGATGTGACACAGACAAGCAAGCTTATCTATTTAGCGGGGGGGGGGGGGGGGGGGGGGGGGGGGGTCGGACCATCTATGATAGGAGTTGACGGGCATAGGCGTGCAGGGTTTAGGGGTCTCAGGGTCGAGGGCTTGTAGGGTTTTAAGGTTTCGGGCACGGCGCCTCTGGAGTTTGGCAACTAACAGGTTTAGGGTTTAGGGTTTAGGGTTTAGGTTTTAGGTTTTAGGGTTAGGGTTTAGGGTTGAGGTTTCGGGTTTAGGGCTTAGGGTTCGGGATTTTGGGGTTGAGCACAGAGAGGGCGCTGAAGGGATGCAGGCTTGTTTGGGTTTCAGGAGCTCTGCCTCTCAAGCCCCCCAAGATGCCCCAAGATGCCCCCACTTTTGGGCATCTAACTTCGCGACTACAGTACCCTAAGCCTACGATAGGGTACCGGTAGGAAAAGAGCCGGTGGCAGTCATAAGCCTACACGCTGAGACCCGAACTTACCTTGGTAACATTGTAGGTCTCCAGGTCAACCCTACCAAGCCCCAAATCAAAACCCTAAACCCCAAACCCTAACTCCAGCTTTCTGCTATGTAACATCCTCAACCCCTGGGCAAGCCCTGCACACTAAACCCCTCATAACCGAACCCCATAAGGGCTTTGGGTTTAGGGCTTAGATTGGGCTGTTCCCCCTCATACTCCGCCGACCTTTAAGGCTTACAGTCCCCAAGGTCCTGTGAACGAGGCATGTAAGCCTCGATGACTGGCCCAATGCACGCTATACACGCAACCCTTGGGTCCCTAAACCCTGGAGAAGTTGAGGTTTAGGTACTCAAGCCTGTATTTGCCTGACCCTGTTCCAAAAACTCTCAGCCCTGACTTTCGTGGGGGTTAGGTTTTAGGGTTGAGGGGTAGGGTGTGAAGATCACCTTGATGAACTACACAATCTGAATACGATGAAAGCACACCTAATCAAATCTATAACTAACCTTCAAGCGGGAGTCCGTACACCCTCAACCCTAAACCCTAAACCCTAGCCCTAAACCCTAAACCCTTCCTTTTTGTAGACCCAACGCAGCTCAGAATTCTTCTCTAGGGGTTGTACCTTGGACCCTTAAGGTTGTACCCCCTTGGCTTTTGGGGACCCTTTTTTAAAAAATCCTTAAGGTAGTAGAAGGGCCATATTAGGCGTATACTAAGGGGAGCCTTTGGGGTGTGAATCCCTTGGTCTTCCAACATCTACAGCCTTGAAACTTGGCTGCACCTAGGAGGGTAGTAAAAAAACCAAACTTTTAGCTGCCTTATTCAGAAACCCAATAAACCCAAGAAGGCTAAAGATCTAAAGTTACAGTAAAGCACCACAAAGGAAAGTGCAAAGAAGCCAACAGAGTGGTCGCAGAATCTAGTTCATGGTTGGTATAGTATTAATTTTTTAAATTTACATTCCTTATTGGGTTTAAGTACCCTAAAAAATGTAAAATGTTACCCAACTATGACAAAGGAATGGTCTGAGCGCGCGGCATGGATGGGCTTCACGCGCACGATGGCGATGCAAAACCTCTTCAAGACGTTCAGGGCTCAAGAGGGTTTAGGGTTTAGGGTTTAGGGTTTAGGGTTTAGGGTTTAGGGTTTAGGGTTTAGGGTTTAGGGTTTAGGGTTTGCGAGTTGAGGTGTGGGGAAAAGGGTTCCGGCTTGCGGAATGAGCTAGTAGCCATCTAGGCTTCTTCAGAGCTCTAGGGCTTGCAGGGGGCGACTGTCGTTGGGGATCTGGGTCTCCTCATCTTCACAAGTAGAAGTGGGCAAGCGGGCTACGGGGCTTAAGTTTGAGGGGCGGCTTAGAGTTTTATCCCTTCCTCCTAATATACTACAAGCCCCGCCCCGCACCCCCCTAATATTAAATGCTCCCACGATAGTTGTACTATATCGCATGGAAAATATTTAGCTTAAGTGGGCCCTCGATTCAGGAACGTTGAGGCGCCCTAAACCCTGGCAAAGAAGGTTCTCAGAAGCCCATGGTCAGGATTGTCGCCCTATCCGTGAACTATATACAGGCCCGAAACCTGAAAAAGCCAAGTGAAGTCTTGAACAAAAACAACTGAAGCACCTGAACCTGAAACCCTCGAAAATCACCGCTATACTCCCCTAAAGCCTTAAACCCGAAACCCTGGCCCCAAGCCCTAAACCCGAAACCCTGAACCCCCAACCCTAAACCCTAAACCCTAAACCCTAAACGACCTGAGCTTTGGGTGGCCACCTCTGCAGTGTGAGCCCATCCCGCATCGAGATCTTCAGGTCATTCTGGTCCGACTTCAGGCATGCTGAGATCCTGCTCACGAAGGGGGGTAGGGTTTAGGGTTTAGGGTGTAGGGTTTAGGGTTTAGGGTTTAGGGTTTAGGGTTTAGGGTTTAGGGCTTAGGGTTTAGGGTTTAGGGTTAAGGGTTAAGGGTTTAGGGTTTCGGGAGTTTCTATCAACGACCACGTCGAGAACACTGCGAGGCCCCAATGGCGGCGACAGCTCGGGTCTGCACGAGGAGCATGCGCGCAGGACCGAGGCGAGAACACCAGGTGCAACACCAGGGCATGCAAGTCCCCTGAAATGAAGCCAACATAGCCAAAGCACATCCCATCCAAGAGCCGAACATGCGTGAGTGCGTGTCCTTGCCACATGTTTCGCGCGACAAGGAACGATGCATGATGCAAGCCCCCAAAAAGTTCACGCAACCAAAAAAACAAAAACAACTTATCATAAAACTACGACAAACAACTAGTTTTTGGTGAGAGCACCGTTTGGCGACCCGCCACGCCGCCAAAGAAATACTACTTGGAGGTTCAGGGCACTTATGAACCAATTAAGAAGTGTACTTATAACCCACTTGCAAGCCCTTGAAGTGCCCTAATATAGCTATAACTTGGGTTAGAAGTACAGGAATATTTGGTTAATCCTAAACCCTAAACCCTAAACCCTAAACCCTAAACCCTAAACCCTAAACCCTAAACCCTAAAGTTATAGTCGGTTCATAAGTACAGTACCATGAACCTTCAAGTAGTTGCCATGCTGGGGAGACGCCTGGACGTTTGCTGGGTACTGGCATGCGCACAGCGCCCAGGCGAGACCACAGGGGCACACAGAAACACCGAGAAGGTCGCCTTGGGGGTTTAGGGTTTAGGGTTTAGGGTTTAGGGTTTAGGGTTTAGGGTTTAGGGTTTAGGGTTTAGGAGACAGCGAGAGGGTCGATTTCGAGGCGCCGTATGCGTGCGGGGCGCCGCTGCGTCAAAGCGGTCCAATTTCCTCTCTCTTTGTAAGAACTCCAAAGTGCAAGCGCTTCGGGAAGTATATATAGCCGTAGTCATACGAAAAGGCGTGCAGGTCCGGGCAACCTACTTATCCATTGAAAACCCTGAGCCAACGCCCAAACTCATGCTGCAACCCCTGGTCAAAACAAGCCAATTCAAATCTCAATTCTGTGGCAACAAACCCTAAACCCTAAACTCTAAACCCTAAGCACTAGACCCTAGACCCTCAACCCTAAACCCTAAACCCCAACCCCAAAACCCCAAAGAGCTACATGTTATGCCGACTTTGGGGCGGAAAGGATCTGAGGGACCGTTTTACTAAAGGCTTCGGGGCTGGCTTCTAACACCTGAAACTGCTTATGGTTTTTCCGTTTTTGTTTTAAGGGTTTTTGAGGATTCTTCCTAGCGTTTTAAGGGTTTTCCTTAGGGTTTGTGCTAGGGGTCTTAGGGTTTCGAGGGGTTTGTAGAGCTTCTGTGTTTTGAAATCAGTTTTTGGGTTTACACCCGCGGTCGTCAGGGCCTGGCCTTCGTGGGGCATCGCGTCGCTTGTGGCCTTCCTGGCGACCCAGGGTTTAGGGTTTAGGGTTTAGGGTTTAGGGTTTAGGGTTTAGGGTTTAGGCTAGAATCCCCTACGTTTGCTTGGCTAGTTTACCGTTTAGGCTCCTTATTGTAGTTTTTTCCAAAGACCCTTAACTCTAAACCCTAAACCCTAAACCGCTAAAGTCCCAAGAGCCAGCCAGGAGAAAGCCAAGTGAAAGCCAAGTTGGAGCCTTCTGCGCAGCAGCAGATTTCGGATTCATAAGGGTCTTGGGCTGAGGGTTAGTAAGGGTTCCCTGGATTTGCTGTAGGAAGGGCTGAAGAATGGCTTAGGGTAACAAAAACAGACACCCTTCTGGGTATAAGGGCGCCTAACCCGTAAAAGCAGGGGATGGGGCCCCACTTCATGTGCTAGCTAGCCCAAAACCCTAAAGCCGTAAAAAATACACAAAACCCATGAAACCCTCAACCTGAACATTGAAAAAACCCGAGCCTAAAAGCCCTGAACACCAAAACCAGAACCCTAAGCCCTAAACCCTAAACCCTACACCCTAAACCCTAAACCCTAAGCCCTAAACCCTAAACCCCAAACCTCTCCAAAGCGCAAAGCTCCCAAGCCTTGGGGGCTTCGACCTGGAAGGCCTGGATGGGTTTAGGGTTTAAGGTTTAGGGTTTAGGGTTAGGATTTAGGGTTTAGGGTTTAGGGCTTAGGGGTTAGGGTTTAGGGTTTAGGGTTTAGGGTTTGGGGCTTGGGGCTTTGGGGCTTTCGGGTTTGTAGAGCTTCTAGGGATCAGATCCGGATTTAAGAAAGTTTTCATTTTTTTGGGGGAGGGAGGCCGGGGGGGGGGAGGGTTAGGGTTTATAGGGCTTACCTCAACTCCCCCAGACTGCCCCACCAGAAGGACGGTCAGCCCCAACGGAGTCGACCATGCAGCGAACCCTAAAACCCTAAACCCTAAACCCTAAACCCTAAGCCCTAAGCCCTAAACCCTAAACCCTAAGCCCTAAACCCTAAACGCTAAACCCTAAACCCTAAGCCCTAAACCCTAAACCCTAAACAGGTGTTGGAGGAGCTTGAGCCGAAGTCCTATACCCTAAACATCCCTAAGCCCTGCATCCTAAACCCCAACGCGAAGCTCTCACCACAGGTTTAGGGTCTAGGGTTTGGGGCTTAGGGTTATTAGAGACGGGTCTTTGTTGTAACTAAAGGTGTATGTGGGTGCGCATACTTTGTTTCAGGGTTAGAAGTTAAAAGTTGAAAAACAAAAACTTGCCAGGCACAGTCAAGTAGGACTCGTCTCCCTATGTTCCCTCCCGAAGCCCCAAAAAGCCAAGACCCTAAGACCCCAAGACCCCAAGACCCTAAGGCCCTAAGACCCTAAGACCCTAAGCCCCTAAGACCCTAAGACCCCAAGACCCCAAGACCCCAAGACCCCAAGACCCCGAGAGACCCCAAGACCCTACGCGACCCCCCTTCCCCCCTTCTTGGACCTCGTTCGGCTGGGCTGAACAATCCCTAAACCCTGAACCCTAAACCCTGAACCCTAAACCCTAAACCCTAAACCCTAAACGAACATGCCCCACTTGTTTGCCGGGAGAGGATGAAGGAGAACCTGCTCGAAGCCACGAAGGACCGCCGCAACTTCTGCGTTGCCCTTTGCCTCTGCTCTTTGCAGGGGCGTCTCGTTGGAATTACCTGCAACTCTGCGTGCATCCGCTCGGGCTTCCAGGAGTAACTCCACAAGAGGGACGCAGCCGCCTTGGGCGGCAGCATGGAGGCATCCGATGGATTGCCTGTACTCTCCGCGAACATAGTAAGAATCACTGGCGAAGACCTGCTCCGTGTTGGCTCTTGACTCCAACAAGAGCCGGGCGACATCCACGAGACCTAAGATCACGACCATGCCCAGTGGCGTCATGCTCTCCTCGTGCACAGGAGACTCCGAAACCATGTTAGGGCTGGCACCTGCCTCCAGCAGCACACGCACCACCTCGACGTGGCCGTTGGCTGCCGCATGGAGCAGGGGCGACGTGGGGTCCGCGATGGAAATCTGATCAGGGTGCTGTGGCCTGTGGAGGATCTCCTCGACCCTTGCCAAGGAACCCTCTGAAGAATCATCCTGCAGCTCGCTGACTTCTTGCTCGGAAGGGCTGCCTAGGATGGCCCCTAAAAACCCTCTGAAAACGATTCCGAAGTATGATCCTCTTCAACTTTTCAACCCAACAAGAAAAATATGAAAAACATCCCAAAGGGAGTTAAAAACCAAGCTGCAGAAGGGTAGCAGGATCACTTGAAGGTCGAGGGGGAGCTGCATCTGGAAGTCATCCGGCAAGGACAAGTCCTTCCAGCAAAGCCTTTGTCTGAATCGTGAAACGTGGAGGATGTGTTCAAGATGCCGCTTCAAAGCCTTGGCATCCTGAATACTGTGGCATGTGGGAGACGATAGGCTGAACACTTCGTCTCCAGAGACGTTGAATACCCGCAGCATAGCACGGACGTCTGGCGCCTACTGAAAACGCCTTTTTTGAGGGGGCTTTGCGAGAATAGGGGGCCCCTGATCTACACCCACAACTCATATTCTCTTATAAAAGAGGACCCCAATATGGTACCCCTAGTTTCGGAAACCCCCATGTACAAACGGTTTGTACCAAACCCTAAACCCTAGACCTTAACCAGGGCCGGGGACCGGGACTACTGCTGGCCTTCCTCTGTCTATCGACCCGAAGCCTTATTGGCCAGAGACATGGACCATGTAGTTTCATATAGGGGACTTGATAATTGGAACAGGGTTCTGCTGGGGCAATCACAGTATAATTACATAGGGACCATAACGATTCCGACCCCTATAATTTTCTTCCCTCATTGCGTTCTCGACCAAGAACCGGCAAGCAGGCTGTCGAGCTCGAGCCAGGCGAGTCGCGACATTCGGCTTCTGCTAGAGGTGTTTAGGCCAGTATGGGGTTTAGGGCTTAGGATGGTTTAGGATTTAGGGTTTAGGGTTTAGGAATACTACGTACGTGAGTTTTTTTGAAATTTAATCACCTTCGTCCCCCTGAGACTCCTCATCGAAATCTCTGGCGCCCAAGTGAAGGGTTCTTTGGGCATCAAACGGCGAATGGGGAGCAAGCCGAACTGTCCTAAACAAATGATGCGAGTAAAAGGTCTGGGTGGTGGAGGATCATGTAATTAAGGCGGGCGAGGAAGGTTATGGCCTCACGAACCTCCTCCGCTCTGTCAACTCTAACCAGCACCGTTTCGCAAGTTTAGGGTTTAGGTGTTGCAGGGCTTGCTTAGAACATCCCTCACCCCCGACCCCCGCTCCGGAGGACGCTGCTACGAGCCCTGCAGACGGAGAGACCCTGAAGTTGTGAAGGCCCTGAACCCTAAACGGACCGAACTAGGATCCAAAGCAACCTGGGAAGAGAAAAGGGTACCCTTCATGGCTTTAAGGGTTTGACAAGGGGAATCCAGGCCATAACCTAAACCCTAACCCTCAACCGTAGAACCCTAAACCCTGTACTAGAGACCTAAACCCTAAACGCTAGACTCGACTCGAGCCTGGACCCCATTGGCCCACATCGTCAGGCTGTGGGGCCAGCACTGGAGGGTGTCGCACGTGTCCTCGAGATGCCCGTGTCCAGGCTTAGGACAGTGGGGGTCAGGGTTCTGGTTTAGAATTCTCAACCCCCTCTGGACCCACCGTCAAAGAAGCTTCCTGGTGCTTTTAGACCGGGGGACCCCTTGCCCCCAAACCCCGAACAAGGAGGTCGTTGTGTGGTAGCCTCAACGATAAGGAAGGTCACATAACACCTTGGTCTGGAAAGCCAGCGGAAAGAAAAAGAGGGTCCAACTGAGAAGCGAGACTTGTGACTGCAAAATGAGCACTACCCTACTCCTCAGGGGGAAGCACCGGGTCCTCCAATCATCCCGTGGGCTGCGTGACCCCAACATGTGGGACTTGTTTGCCCGGAAAAGGTCCTTAAACCTAAGTTCCCGAAGTCCCAAGCCCTGAACTGCAAGGCCTAAACCCTCTGAACCCTCTACATAGCCTCTACATACCCCTTAACCCTGAAGGCGCTTCAGTTGAGCCCCGAGGATCTTCCCCAGTGCCCGATCTCCGAGTCTGGAATTTACAGGGTTCTTTGGGGGGGGGGGGGGGGGTTCAAGGGGTATGTATTTCAAGGTTTCCTAATACTCCCTACTCCCTAAGGCTCCCAGAGCTCCCCTAAGCCTCCCTAAGTACCTCTGGGTACCTACCCCGCCTCCCCTTCAGAACCCTCTAAGGAACGTGGGGTTTTGGTTCAGGGGTTTAGGGTTTAAGCTTCGGTCTTCAGGTTTGGGGGTTTGGGTTTTGGGGTTCAGGGCTTGGGGGTCCAGGGTAGAAGGTAGAAGTCTCAACGCTGTTCTCAATAGGGATGGTAGCATTAAAAAAATACTCCAGCTCAGCTTGAGCACTAGCGCCATAAATCCTACATCCTAAACCCTAAACCATGGCCTCTTTGCAGCAAAGCTTCGAGATTCAGCATACGCACGTCTATCTCCTCGCCCTGTTTCCGCCACCGCCTGGGCTCCAACATCTTGAGCCCGTAACATAGGGTTTAGGGTGTAGGGTTTAGGGAAACATAGCACCCAAATACGTTTCTTATGGATTATGATATGCTAGTGGGAATGAATCTGACATTGACGGGTAGGGTGGTTCTAAGATCCTTGAGAGGGGTGAATGCAGTGAATGCCTAAACCCTTCGGGCTTAGAGCTCATGGCCTTGAGGTCGTGAGGGGGATGTTCACAGGAAGGGGCCACAAATGGAGAGTTGTCTTTGTCTCAGGATGCGGGACTGAGGTTGAGTGTGAAAGCCTTCAACAAACCGAAGCCATTTTGGACTAAGGGTTATGGTTTGGGCTTAGAGTTATTGACTTGAATCCGGCAGACTACATCCAGCCGAAACATCCTCAAGTGGCCAATATAGGAAGAGTTTGTATTTGAGGCAGTTCGCGGTGGAATTCTTATGTATATACGGATGACAAGGGATGACAATGTAGTTGTTTCGCCAGTATTGTGCCCTGCAACCCGTAGTTAAACCCTCAAACCCTCAACGGTGCAAGGGGTACTTTGGAGCAGCCAGGTCCCCGCATCCTACGGGGACGTGCAGTGGGGATTCACGCCGGTTGTCATAGGGCTCAGGGCTTAGGGTTAAGGGTTCTAGTCCGAAAGATATGCCCTCGTCTAGGCCTGAGATTCTTGGCACCACAACCCCAAACGCCCAAGTCCAATCAACTAGGTTCCCCCGTGACCCGGGAGAAAAAAGGGGCGCGTCCTTGTCGGCATCCAAACAAAACAGGGCACGAGGGTACTATACTGGGCTCCCTGACTCCCTGAAGCCTAAACCCTAGACCCTAACCCTAAACCCTATAGGACTCCAGACAAAGACCAAGAGGCTGGAGGTTGGGTATGTTCAGCCTCACCCGCACGGTCGCCTCGCCCATGGTCTCCTGCAAACCAGTGCTCCACTCCCCCCCCCCCCCGTCCCTTTTGCATTCCGGGTTAGCCTGAGGGTTTAGGGTTTAGGGTTTAGGGTTTAGGGTTTAGGGCTAGGGTTTGGGGTTTACGGGCAGAGGAATTTGACAGGCCTGTTCTAGCCAAGGGGCGTATAACATGCTGTTGCTAGATCGCATCACCCTTTGTTGCCCTTACTTTCCTACATGCAGTTTCACATCCACCTGCCACCTAACCCTAAACCCTAAACCCCAAGCCCTAAACCCTAAACCCTAAACCTCAAACCCTAAACGTCAAACCCTGAACCCTAAACCCTAAACCCTAAAGAACTACAAGCACATGAAAGCCGAAAGCTTGGCAGGGCCCTGGGCCCACTCCTACCTCAGCCCGAAAGAAAGTTTAGGCTTTAGGGTTTAGGGTTTAGAGTTTGGGTTTGGGTTTAGTCAAAAAGTCCTGAACAGCTGAAAGACCTCACCCTGTGACACTCAGAGCTAAACAACCCTGAGCCCTAGAGCCTCCCGAAATCCCTCTACCCTAAACCCCAAACGCCAAATCCTGAAACCTTAACCCTGAACAATAAACCCTAGCTCTATCTCTCTCTCTCTCTCTCTCTCTTTCTCTCTCGCTCTCTCTCTCTCTCTCTCTCTTCTTGCCCTGTCCTCTGGTAGCACTGGCGGCTGCAGGAGGATTAACTTCAGGAGCCCTTTCTCGTTCTCCTTCATGGGGCTCAAGGGGTCCATGTCCTTCAAGTGGCTGGCACAGAACTTACTCCCATAACCAGGGAAATCGGAAAACAGCTAAAGCTGCACTATTCCTACTAAATAGAGAGGCCCAAAAAGTTCTCAAAGTTCAACTATCAGCTAAGGAAGAGAAGGGCAAACAGTTGCTGATACCGGGGGCTTGAGGGTTTTTGTTTCGGACGTATTTCCGGTACAAATATGAGAAAGTTCCAGAGGATGGCTAGGGTTTAGGGTTTAGGGTTTAGGGTTTAGGGTTTAGGGTTTAGGGTTTAGGGTTTAGGGTTTAGGGTTTAGGGTTTAGGGTTTAGGGTTTAGGCTTTAGGGTTTAGGGTTTAGGGTTTAGGGTTTAGGGTTTAGGGTTTAGGGTTTAGGGTTTAGGGTTTACGGTTTAGGGTTTAGGGTTTAGGGTTCAGGGCTTGGGGTTTGGGGTTTGGGGTTTGGGGTTTAGGGTTTAGGGTTAGGGTTTGTGTATTGGGGTGTAATGTTTGGTTTAGGGGCTTAGGAGCTTGAGGGCAAAAAGGGGTTAAGGACTTTCCGGGCTCTGCATGGGTTCCCAAAATAGCCAAAAGCCCTGCCTGAAGAACGCCAACTCTAATGCCTGCTGTTGCAGAATACTATTCTTGGCTGCACTTGGGAGGGTAGTAAAGAATTAAACTTTTAGCTGCCTTAGTAAGAAACCCAATAAGCCCAAAAAGGCTAAGGATCTAAAGTTACAGTAAAGCACCACAAAGTATTACTGGTAGTTGCTTGTCCCATGGTTATCTTTGCTTTCTTCATTAGTACTACTGAATACTACTACATAGTCTTCAAATACTGCTATTGCAACGCCCATGATGGCTTTCTTAAGCAAGCTCCACAAGACTTGGGGGACAGGATAGGGTCCAAAGTTCAGGGCTCCAGGAAAAATGGGGGGGGGGTATGGATGAGGCTACACGCGCAAGGAACCACCAGCGACTGGAATTCCAGGCGAAGGCTCAACTGCCTGAAAACTGATAGCTCAAGCCGGGGCACACGAAATCGGCAGACGGGACAAACGAAGACGCCGTCCTGCACAGGCTCCAGGGGTTTAGGGTTGAGGCTTCTGAAGTTTCAAGGTCAGGGTTTCGGAGCTCGTGGGCTTTAGGGGTTATGGCGTTCAGGATCCAAAGTCCGATCGGTCTGAAGGCTGCTACTTGCGATGAAGGTCACGTGAACCAAAGATGTACAGCAAGCTGATGCAAAGATCAAAGATGGAGACCCGGCGTCGAAATCCAGAAGGTGGTTACAGCTCAGGAGTAATGTGGACTGATGGGGGCCCAAACTCCTTGATTTTAAAGCCGCGCGATTCGTGAAGCTTTTATGGGCGGGTGCGATGAGATATTTACCTGACAGTTTACCTGACATCGTAAACCCTAAGCCCTGAGCCCTAAACCCTAAACCCTAAACCCGGAACTATAGCCACCCTGCTTTATAGAACTACCCGGGAGCCGTAAAAGCTGGAGGCTTCCGAGCCTTTGAGAAGCCTTTGTGAACCCTCAACCTTAAACCCTAAGCCCATCCCGTAAAAGGGAAACGGGTGAAAAAGTGGGAACAGGGGGGGGGGCCCACGGGGACTCCCATTTGGAAGCCTGGGATTTTGGGGATTGGGGTCTGGGCATAACAGGAAACACACTCTTGGTGGCCCAGTAACCATCTTGTCATAAGGGAACCCCTTTGAGGGCACCACTGGGCAGGCAGGCACGCAAACAATGAATGAACAGCAGTGGCTGGTGGATTATGTAGGTTGAAGGACGACAAAACCCCCCTAAACCCTAAACCCTAAACCCTAAACCCTAAACCCTAAACCCTAAACCGATAAAAAGGGTAAACAAGCCTCCGGTCTCGAGATTAAATGTTACTTAACTAAGAGGCCCTGGAAGATATAGCATATTGGGATGTTCCCCCTACTAACAGTCATTAACGGGGATGATAATAAGGGGTACCAGAATCCTAGCTAAGGACTGTTAGTTTTAGAGGAAAGTCCCAAATAGTATATATATATATATACAGAGAATGTATATATATATATATTTATATATACTTCTTTTTTTGGGGAACCCTGAGTCCGAGTCCTAAAATCTACGAGGTATGGCCGGAGTTCGCAGGCCTTGAGATCCGGAATGCGGCGGAGGTTCGAGCCTGAGCTGGAAGCCACGATTCGGTGCTTGCAGGTGGTTTAGGCTAGGGGTTTAGGGATTTAGGGGTTTAGGGGTTTGGGGTGTAGGGTTTAGGGTTTAGGATTGATACAAGCATGCCGTGGCGGGTAGTGCACGACTCGAGAAGACTCTACAGTCTCACTTTTTTCAGCATCCTGACGAGAACGTCACGCAGAAAGCCCGGCTATCTGTTTAGAATGTTGATGGAAACATCAAATACTGCATCCCAAGACTAGGAATAATCGCGGAAGAACCAGAGTATCATGAGAACCAACGAAACAGCAAGATACAGAACGAGATGGCGAGTAACCATACCCAGAGTCGTAAGATTGAAAGCCGCAGCGCATGAAGAAACTTAGCAACAGCTGCAAGCGATACCTGGACGTTGATCAATTCCGTGAGGGGTTTATGCATTGTTCAGGCCTCTGTTTCGGTACCCTGGATCTTGCAAGTTATGCTCTGAGGGTTTGGGGGTTTAAGGGTTTGGGGCTTTGCGCGGCCTGGACCGGGCTCGTCAGGGTGATACGAGTAAGCACTCAATCCACATGAAGCTCTTCTGCCCGTACCTCTGCCAAAGCTCCGAAACCAAAAACCGTACAACACAAAACCCTCCACTGCAACTCTAAACCCTTAACCCTACAACCCTAGAACCCTAAATGGCCCTAAACCCTTGACCCGAAACCCTCAGCAACTGAGGCCCAGCTACTTTGCTGACAGGTTTTGCAGATCAGCGCGCTCTGGTTCCGGTGGTAGCTGGGCCGCTTCTCCTTGGGCTCCAGGGGGCTTTTACCGTATTTAGGGTTTAGGGCTTAGGGTTTAGGGGCCCTTAAGTTTGTAGCCTTGGGTTTTGGGGACCCTTTTTTTTAAAGACCCTAAAGGTAGTATCAGGGCCATCGTACGAGTATAGTCTGGGCAAGCTTTAGGGGCGCAAGCTTCGGGGTTCGGGCTACGAGCCTAAAATCCCTTGAGGGGGCGGAGTCGGGGGGCCGACTCCGGGCTTGAAAACACAATTTACTCGAGGGGGGTCTAAAGCCCTAAACAACTACAAGCCCTAAGAATTCTTTAGAAGCCTAAGACCCTAAAACCCTAGAACTCGAAAACCCTAGAACCCTGAACCACTCGAAATTTTATGGGGATGATGGGATTGAGAGTTTGGAAGGCTTGATGGTCTTTAGGCCTTATTGGGTTTAGAGGGTTTACGGGGTTTAGCTCTTCGGGGGTTTAGGGTTTGAAGGGTTGATGGCGTTCAGGCCTTGTTGGGCCTTAGGGTTTGCAGGGTTTATGAGATTTAGGCCTTGATTAGAGGTTTTAAGAGGTTTGCAGCATAAAGGGCTAAATCCAACCACCCCAAACCCTCAACCCTTGACCCTCAACCCTAAACTTATCCCTAAAGCCTGAATCTTTGGTGCCCGGAGACCTTCAAGCCTTCTGGGGGATTTACGAAAACAGGGGACCCCTAAAATAGACGCCCAAATCGTAAGATTCCCTTATATACGGACCCAATAATATACTCCTAATTTCGGAAACCCTAAACCCTAAACCCTAAACCCCGAAACCCTAAACCCTAAACCCTAGACCCTAAACCCGAAACCCGAAACCTCATGCCAAGGTGCGAGGCATGGTCGCGGGGGATCCGCGGCCAGTCTCGCGCGGTGCTCGCTGCGGAGCTTTTTGATGTGCGCCGCCTTGCGGGGGCTTAGGGGTTTCGGGTTTAGGCTATAGGGTTTAGGGTTTAGTGGTTTAGGGTTCAAGTTTAGGGTTTCGTTTAGTGGTTTAGGGTTTAGGGTTCAAGTTTAGGGTTTAGGTTAGTGGTTTAGGGTTTCAAGTTTGGGTTTGGAGTTTGGGGCTGAAGGTGTCATTTTGGGCGATCAAACCCAGAGAAGTAGCAGAATGGGGGACCCCCCCACCCCCAGTTATGAGCATGCTGCGTCTCTACCCTTTCGGCTTCGGCACTTTCGAACTCTCCCTGGAAGATGTCAAAGCTTCCCCGAACCAAATCCTAACCCTAAACCCCAAACACTTGAAGCACTCTAAGCCCAAAAGCCCGAAAACCTAACCCTAAACCCTAAACCTTAAACCCCAAACTCCAAACCCTGAAGCGTGTAGGGGAGCTCAAGGGGTCCGGGGCCTCATGGTTTCATTGGCTCCAGGATTTAGTGGAGTGTTGTTGAAGTGGTCCGTCGATAGAGCTTCAGGGCTTTGGGTGTTTAGGGTTCGGGGGTCTGTAGACATTCTAGGGCAAAGGGGGTTTGGGGATTTAGGGTTTATACGGCTTGGGGTGCAAGACTGGGTTAGGTGCCTCCTCTCGGCCTCGATCCTTTCTTCTCGACAAGGGTAACTACGACACTTAAGTGCTCAGGGGACCTTGAAGCCTAAACCCTTCTTCATCCTGAACCTTGCAACACTCTGAGGGAAGTTGCATGGTCCCTTAGTATGGGCCCTTAAAAAGGTGCCCCTTATATACCCCTTACATACCCTATTCCAAATAATGCCCAGTCCTCAGATTAAAAAGGAGGCAAAGGACCACTACTACCCTTAGAAAACCCCTAAACACAAATCCCTTTTAGCCCTGAGCTTCCGAACCGCCGCCAAGATCCCAATACCCTCTAAGGCCCTAAACCCTAAACCCTAAACCCTAAACCCTAAACCCTAAACCCTAAACCCTAAACCCTAAACCCTAAACCCTAAACCCTAAACCCTAAACCCTAAACCTAAACCCTACACCCTAAACTGCGTCCGCCTTCTCAGCGGCCTTTTGCTCGGCGGCCTTTTTCAATGCGGCGGCCTTCTCCTTCGCCTGCGACGACGGGGCCCCTGACACCCCAAGCCTCCAATGCGCCAAAGCACCATGACAGGGTTTAGGGTTTAGGGTTTAGGGTTTAGGGTTTAGGGTTTGGGGGTTTGGGGGGTTTTGGGGGTTTGGGGGTTTAGGGTTTGGGGTTTAGGGTTTAGGGTTTGGGGGGCCCTGAACTCTGCCAGACCCAAGATTTTCAGACCAGAATGCCCCGAAGCCCTTGGACCTTTCTGGTTGAGTCGGGCTTGGAAGTGGGCCCCAGCCCCAAACTACGAGAAAGGGAACGAACAAAAAATGCTACTGGGGGCTCTTGCACCCGGGCCCTGGAGGTTCAGGGTACTTCTAACACCAATTCTAACTGCACTTATAAGCCCCCTATAAGTCCTCTAAGTAGGTTATAAGTAGACTTAGAATTGGGGTTATACGTACCCATGAACCTCCACCTAGGAACCAGACTCCTGGAGTGGGGGGGGGGCGAAGTTTCGGTCGTTTTAGATCTTGCTACGGAGCCTTCCTCCACGGCCTCCTAGGGCTCTGCACGTCTCTCCAGGTTGGCTAGGCGACTACCACGAGAAAAACGGCCTCCTTGTTCGGCAGGCTGCAGGGTAGAACCCTATGAACGCTGAAAGAGTATAGCTGTGGTGGGGTGTGGGGCTACTAAGCTACGCAGCTATGCGAGCGAGCGAGAGGGAGCGCTCTAAACCCCAAACTGTGAAGGAAAACCCTAAAATCCTAAACTCCCAGCCATAAAGTCCTCCACTTTCTACTCCTCAACCCTCCACCCTAACCCTCAAAGCTCTAGGGTTAAGAGCCTGGTTTACCAGGGCCAAGGGCCTGGTTTAGGGTTCGGGTTTTTAAGCTTTGGGGTGGGGGTGTATAGGACTTTCATAGGACTCTACCTTGGACCTCAAAGGTTGTGCCCTTGGGTTTGGCACCCGGTGGGTAAGGGCATATGCGGAGCATATTAAGGGAACCTCTCAGGGGTACATAGGGAACCTGTTAGGGGTACATTCTCAAGGGTACGAGTCTTAATCCCTTGAGATGTAGGCTTCAGTCCTTAGGGTATTTTTGGTAGGCTCTTACTATCTAACCCCTCATAGGAATATTAGGTAACCTACAAGAAAGTAGCTTTGGCTCGTAAGGTAGGCGGTTTAGGGTTCAGGGTGCAGGGTTCAGGGTTTAGGGCTAGGGTTTAGGAATTTGTGTTTAGGGTTTAGGGTTGAGGGCTTAGGGTTACACAAGGGCTGTTGGCCGCCTTCTTTGCCGCGGCTGCTTTCTCAGCAGCCCGCTTGAGAGCTGCGGCCTTTTCCCGTTCCGTGGCCGCCTGGGGTTGTTCCGGGGTCTTGAGGCTTGGGGTGTAGGGTTAGGGTTTGGGGTTTGGGGTTTGGGGTTCGGGTTTCTGGGATTTAGGGTTCGTTGAGTGATCTGCGGTTTGGCGAAACCCCAAAACCCTAAACCCTGCACTAAACCCTGTGTTTGGGAGGCAGGCTTCAGGGCTTCCAGTCCAGCCGAAACCCTACGTACACTCTACCTGAACAGCAATTTAGGGTTCAGGGTTTAGGGCTATGGCTTTGGCACGAAGGTTCCTTAAGGATCTTATGAGTCAAGGGTCTAGATGCAGTAACAACCTACATGAAAGTGGCTTTGAACTCTGAAGGCAGGCCCTATTTGAATCAGAGCTATGTGGTCGTCGGAATCCCTAAAGAAAACGCTGAGCCCTAAACCCTAAACCATAAACCTTAAATCCTCCCCCGCCCCACTCTTTCGAGGCGCGCCTCGTCCAAGGCTTCCGCTTTCCGTTTGTTGGATGCGCCTCGGAAAAGGGAGGTCCAACCCGACAAACCCTAAACTTAAAGGCTCACGCGCACCCTGCCGCCGCCAGCAAGTACCCACTGACGAGTTAGTGGGAGGGGAGTTTCGGTACCGCAAAGGGCTGAGTGAATCTTGGGCTCTGGGTTTAGGGTTTACAGAATTTCGCGGCCAATGGAACTTCTACCCTGCTTAACAAAGGCCCAATCGCTCCCTCTCAGCAGCCGTAAACCCTAAGCCCTAGCCCTAAACCCTAAACCCAAAAATTGCATGGATGAGGAAGCAATCTCTTTTGCATGAGGAGGTTGGGGCTCCCGGGGTGGATTTCCTTGGAGCTTAGCTTTCGGAGTTTGAATCAGGGTTTAGGGCAGTCAGGGCATTTAGGGTTCAGGGTTTGGGAAGTTCGGGTGTAGGGCTGGTAGGCTTCAGGCTTCGGCGTTCGCATCAAACCGGGCTGACGGTATAGGAATTGGTGAGCTTGAGACTCGGAATATGGAGGGGGGGCGGTTCTCTCGGCCCCTGTACTTCAAGTGAGGCATTTTAAGTTGCTTCTCAACAAGCCTCTCTATATACCTACAGGTCTCGAAGTCCGTGCCTCTTTGCCGCTAGGCTCCATGGAGTCCCTTGTACTTGGAGGTTCAGAAGTAATTATATCTGTACCTATAACCCACTTCTAAGCCCCTTAAGTGCCCCAATGCAGTTGTAACTTGGGTAATAAGTACAGTCATAATTGGGTAAGAAGTACCCTGAACCTTCAAGTAGGGTTTAGGGCTTAGAGTATCCGCCAGGATCCAACCTTCCACCCTGGACGCTAAAGCCTCTCGAGCACTTCTCAAAATTATGGTCCCTCCTGGGGCCCTTATTATAAGGCGGCCCCTGTTATTTAGGGTACCCCAAAAGCGACGATCATTATGAGAAGTGACCATATAAGTATCTTGGCTGCAATTGGGAGGGTAGTTGAAAACTAAATTTTTAGCTGCATGATTAAGAAACCCAATAAAGCCAAAAAGGCTAAGGATCTAAAGTTAGAGTAAAGCACCACAAAGGTAAATAAGCCCTTCAGAAGAACTCCAAACAAAAAGCACTGCCCTGAGTTCTGTGCTATCAGAGGCGTGGTGCCCGTTTTCGCCATGGCTTTCCTGGCCGAGCTCTTCGCAATAAGGTCATTGCGGACTTAGGGTTTTTGGGGTTTAGGGTTTTTGGGGTTGTAGGGTTTAGGGTTTTAGGGTTTTAGGGTTGGGGTGGGGGGGGGGGGGGGGGGGGGGGGGGGGGGGGGGGGGTGTTAAGGGTTTTGGGGTTTGGGGTCTAGGGTTTCGGGTTCGGGGCCTAATTGGGGCTTGACACCTCCTACCGGTTTTTAGGCTTGGGGAGAAAAAGGGTCACCCAAATGCTGAAACGTAGGTGTGCAGGCCTCGAGGCTCCTGGGTATCCACATTGAGTAGAGTTGACTCCCACATCGCACTTTTGTCAACCTCTCACCAAAAAAACACCTGAAACCCTACCCCACACCCTCCTACACCTCCAAAGCCCCTTTGGCTCATCGGCCTAGTTAAGAAAGACAGCTCTACTTAAAACTCCACATGAACCTTCATGTCAACCCTACTTCCATCCCCATATCCCGTAGCTGGACAAACCCTAAACCCTAAACCCTAAACCCCAAACCCTAAACCCCAAACCCCAAACCCTAAACCCTAAACCCTAAACAGCACCATTGGGGACTAACTGCCTAACAGCTCTCGGAGTCCTTGCTGGAGGCAGCCTGCTGACTACTGGAGCCGTGCCTGAGCTTCGTGCCCTTATTATGGGGCTTCAGAGCTCTCAGCCCGAATCCTAAACCCTAAAACCTAAGCCCCAAACCCTAAACCCTAAACTCTACACCACAAGTCCTAAACCCTAAACCCTAAGCCCCAAAACCCTAAACCCTAAACCCTAAACCCTAATGTCAAATACCTACTGAAGTACTCACACCTCTGTTCGATCGTGCGCCGAACTCCTAGAGCAAAATCTCGAGAGGCTCTTCGCACAAAGCGCCTTGGGCCTAACTGGGTTCTTGGACCTTACAATCTACCGCAACAAGGTTATGTAGTAAATTAGTACCTCTTTGTTGCGGTAGCTAGCATAAACCTAAATCCCATACAAAGAGGCCAGACAAAATCCCTCAGACCGCACGCGCCCCTCCGCAGGGGCAATGTTCGAATGGTATCTTGTTATCCGTATGGGTATCGGATGTTAGTAGAAGTTTTAATATAGATCGTGTTCGAGTGTTGCTAGTCTTTTTGCTCCTGCTTGTAGTGTCACCAGTACGTCCTGCGTCTGGGCTACATGAACCTCCAAACCCCAAACCCTAATCCACAAACTCAAAACCCCCAACCCCCAACCCCCGACACTAAAACCAAAGCCCTAGACCCCAAACCGCAAACTCAAAACCCCAAACCCCAACCCCAAATTGCAAACTGCAAAGGCCCGAAACCTTCAAATAGCAGCCGCGGTGCTTGCTGGAGCTGGGGGCCCGTCGAGCCTTCACAGCTGCAAAGGCAGCGTCGACCACCTTCCAGGCATCCAAGACCTGATTGGAATTCTAAACCCTGTAATCCCTAACATAGGCTTTAGGGCTTGGGGTTAAGGGTTTGGGGGGCAGGGTTTAGGGTTTAGGCTTTTGTAATTAATCCCTAACCTGGGCTTTAGGGCTTGGGGTTAAGGGTTTAGGAGGCAGGGTTTAGGGTTTTGGGGTATGCCCTCCATGGGCCACACAGTAGGACTTGATAAAGGACTTCGGCTTGATGACTTACACGAATGTTGTGAAGTCCTGACTGCTGAACTGCTGAGCCAAGGCTCTATGTGGGTTGGGTGTCGGGTTTAGGGTTTGGGTATAAGGGTATAAGGTTTAGGGTTTAGGGCTTAGCGAGCTTCGCCCTGAAACCGAAACCCTGGTGGTAGTTCGAGTGTCTTGAATCTGACGTTCGATTTGCCACCAAACAGGGTTAAAGGATTCGGGTCTCGCCAAAACCATCCCTTTATATATATATATATACATATATACATACAAGACTAGTATTAATATTGAAAAAATCGTAACAGTGCATAAATATCTGCACTATATGCACAAGGTTTTGTTGGTGTGACCGCGCAGACCATGCTATCTTGTGTACATAAGGTTTTGTTGGTGTGAGCCTTTCGGGTCAGGGTTTAGGGGGCGCCAGTCTCTGAGGGTCTCGGGTGCTGGGAACTTAGCAAAAGACAAGCACATCGGAGCGTCCATGGAGCTTCGAGATTGGGACCCTCCTGGAATTCTGAGAGATCCTACGCCACTTCCACAAAAAAAACACACCCGTACTCCAAGTGGCGCAATTCAGGGATACCGGGGCTTTTGTAGAAGTAGGTGCCCTAAAACCCTGTACCCTAAACACTCAACTCCAAGAAAAAACATGTCCAACAAAAACCCGAAACCGCCCTGGAAGCGGCCTCCTTGGCTTTGTTGACCTTGCCTTCTTTCTGGCTGGCCTTGTACACCTGGCACACAAGCTTGCTCTCTCTTTCGCTCGCTCGCTCGCTCGCTCTCTCTCTCTCCCTCTCTCCCTCTCTCTCACTCTTTCTCTCTCTGGGTGGGTGGGTGGGTGGAATGGCGTCTCTGTGTCCGTGTGGGTATGTGTGTGAGGTCTGTCTCTGCCTGTGTCAGTGTGTCTGTGTGCCTGTGTCTGGTCTGTGTGGTGTGACTTTCATATCTTGAGGGGGGTGGGTGGTAGGGGTGGGGCTTTAGGGCAGGGGAAGGGGGTACGCGGCTATTGGGTACGTATTGGGGCATTATGGGGTTTAGCATTTGGGTTGATTTCGTTTCGGGGAGGGCATCTCGGCAAATGCGCGGGTGTGGAAGTTTTGCCGGCAAACCTCTCAGGCCAGGAGCTTGTGTCAAGATTTTATCTAATCGCATCCCCCATTAAAGGCCCCCCCTCCCTCCCCAAAAAGAAACTCGAAATGTGTTTCTATTATTAGGGGGATCTTCTTATCCTTATGCCATCTTTTGGGATGGGGTTTAGATTGGCTTAGATTGGCTTGAAAGTCTTTGAGACCCTGAACAATCCCCCTAATTTGAACAGGGTTTAAAAGGTGGGGTCGGTTTCGTCAGGATTCTGCGGAAAGTGTCTTGTAATTAGGGGCACGTGTTAATGCAAGGAAGAGGTGATTAGACAGCTATGCTACGCAATTTTCCTAAGCAGAAGCAGAAGCAGACTTGAAGAAGCCCACGCTGAAGAGGCACGACGTCTTTTTGACATGAAGGCCTCTTGGCTGCACTTAGGAGGGTAGTAAAAAAATTAACCGTTTAGCTGCTTTATTAAGAAACCCAGTAAACCCCAAAAAGGCTACAGATCTAAAGTTCCAGTAAAGCACCACAAAGGCCTCCTTAGTCTTCCGCCGAATCTTCTCGATGTCGTCTTTGGAGAACTTCGGGAGGTAGCTCTCATCGCGTATGCCTGGCGCGGGGGATTCTGTGTTTGCTTGGCTTAGGCTTTACTTCAAGGTTCATGGTACTTATTAACCAACTATACCAACTATACCTGTACTCACAAGCCACTTGTAAGCCCCTTAAGTGCCCTGATTTGGTACGTATAATCTGGATTATACGTACAGTTAGAATTGGCTAATAAGTGCCCTGAACCTCCAAGTAAGGTTTAGGATGGTGGGGAGGTGATCTACGCCACACCTCATCAACCTAGCAAGGTTTGGGTTTTAGGTCTCTAGGGCATACGATTGTAGTTTCCACTGAACAAAATGTACTCCAAGTCCTAACCCTCCCCCCCCCCCCCCCCCCCCAACTTAGAGTAAAGAAAAGACTGCCGATGTGCCTACGATGGGCTTATACTTAGGGGCATTGCGGTGGATCGGTCTCGGGGCCTGAGATGAGAGGCCAGGAAATGCACGCGTGTTATGTGGAGGCCTTCCACCCTAAGCCCCCAAAATCCTAAGCCCCAAGCACTCAACGCCACAAGGCATGGGAAAACAGGCGGTGTCTGTAGTGCTCGTGAGAGAGTGCATGCAGCAGCTCGACTGGAATTGGTCTCCGGGGAGGTAAGGGTTTGGGGTTTCATCGGGCTTCGGAAGACCGACTCATGTTCCCCCCTTGTCAGCAGCAGCAGCAGTAGTGTTCAATGGGCGGCTTACATCATACTGTAATTACAAATGCTTGCTGCCGTAGAAGTTGAATAGGGAGCAACCCAACACCACCCCTTAAGCATCTGCTGGTATTTCTGACCCTGATTCAGGTGTAACTCAAAAAAACTCAATAAGTGCAATTTTTCATTATGTGAATGTAATCTATTCATTTTTTTGTTCTCTCTCTCTCTCTCCTCCTTAGACTTGTAACTACCGTAGGCACTAAACCCTGAACCCTAAACCCGAAGTAACGATCCCCTTAAAGAGCGGCACCTTGCCAACCCCGAAACTTCAATCCCCTGACCACGACAGGCCTAGAATCTGGCAGGCCGACTGCAGTTTCGCCTCATGAGGCTCGTAGAGTCTAGGGTTTAGGGTTTAGGGCTTTGAGGGTCGATTGATTTTAGTTTTTTGGGGTTTAGGCTCTAGGGTTTGAAGGGTTTAAGGTTTAGGGCTGGGGGGGGGTTCAGGGCATCAAACAGGTTACCGGGGGGTGGGGGGAGAGGAAGGGAATTCCAGTTTGGGGGATTCGGCTTTAGGGTTTCGGGCATGGGGGTAGTTTTCGGATGTAAGGAGGGCGTTAGGAGGGCAAGACTTTAGGGGTGGTGAATCAGTATCGGGGCTTAGGGCTAAGGGCTTGGCTGAGGGGTTTAGGCGTGCTGGTGAAGGGTTGCGTGCTTTGCGTGCGGAAGAGCCATCACTGTTCATTCCATGGGTTTGGGCTCTGGCGCTTGAGGGTTTGGGGTTTCGCATTTTTGCTGGTGGGACGGGAGGAGGGGAAGAGGGTTGGGGGCAAAGGTAAGGGCATAGCGATGCTTCCTCCATCCATCCCTTGAAACAGGTTCAGGGTTTCGGGCGTCGGCAACGGATGTTGTGAACCCTACCCCCCTAAACCCCCTAAACCCCCTAAACCCCCTAAACCCCCTAAACCCCCAAAACCCCCAAAACCCCCAAAACCCCCAAAACCCCCAAAACCCCCTAAACCCCCTAAACCCCCTAAACCCCCTAAACCCCCTAAACCCCCTAAACCCCCTAAACCCAAGGCCTAAACCTGAAACTCCGCCCGCTAGGAAGCCCTGCTGCCCCCTCATTCTGCCATAAGCCTGAATCCCTACTAAGCCCCAGAGCCTGAAATACCCTCAGCCCCCCTAAGCCCTCAGAGGGCCCCGAAACCTCAAGACCAATAGAAACTCGGGAATTAACCCTAAACCCTAAACCCTAAACCCTAAACCCTAAACCCTAAACCCTAAACCCTAAACCCTAAACCCTAAACCCTAAACCCTGAAGCACCCCGATCATGCACCTCAAGTCCCTCAAATCCCGAAACTTAGGAGCAGGAGTGCGGTAGGTATCGAAAGATCTGACAAACCCTGAGCACAAAAACCTGAAGAATCCCTATAAGCCCCCCCCCCTCCAAAATCCTCGAACACTTAAACCCCCAAACCCTAAACCTTCAGATCCTAAACCCTGCAACCCGGGACCTCCACACCCTAAACCCTAAACCCCCTTGAACCCTAACCCGAAAGAAAGAAACCAGAAACATCGACATTCTAAGGCCAAGACCATGTCAAAGGTGACCTCCACCCAGCCGCCAGAGAAGCCCAGGAGGCGGACGTGCTTTGGGGCTTAGGGTCTGGGGATGTGGGGCTAGGGTGGTTGGGGTGTTGGGTTGTATGGGGTTATTTAGGGCTTGGGGTTTAGGGTTTGGGGTTTCGTGCGCAGGGTGTAGAGTTTGGGGTTGAGAGGGCTTGGGAGCGTCATCAGAGCTTATGGTTCAGAGCTTGGGGTTTCAAGGCTAATGGGGTTTATGACTTCTGGCTTCGGCCTCGCATAGAGGTCGAGCGTGGTTGGTGCGCACTGCGTGGGGTCAGGGGGATCTGAAGGACTGTGGCAGCTCGCTGTTCTTATGTTCACGCGAAATGTCCATGACAATTTCGCAAATATTTAGCTTGCTTGTATGCAAGAACTTTTCTCTACGTATTCTGCAATGTTTTACACGTATGCGCATTATCTTTATACATAATATCTACATCTATATCTATATCTATATCTATATATATATATATATTAGTTTATATGTATAGATATGTATGCAAGCATCGTGGCTATCCAGCTGCATACGGCTTTGCCACGCCCTCTGCGCCCCTCTTCCGCTCTATAATTTCGCTTGCGCCATGTTGCAAGTACTTGAACCAGCAGAAGCGTCGAAGACTGAGGCTCGGCGCGTAAAACACTAAGCTCTAGGCGGTTTGGGGTTTAGGGCTCAACCCTAAATCCTACACCCTAAACCCTAAACCCTCCTAAACCCTAAACCCACCGGCTACATGCCATCAGGTCTTGCTCTGCGCAGCACTCGAAGCCGCAACCCTAAACCCTGAACCTAAGGTTTTTGTTCCTTGGACCCTTCAGGTTGTACCCCTAGTTAAATCCTAAACCTTAAACCGTAAACCCCTTAGGTTTTTGGGGATCCTTGTAAAGATCCTTAAGGCAGCAACGGGCCATATTCGGAGTACATTACGCGGAACCTTTATGGGTACAACCTTAGGGGTACGAGTCTTCATCCCTTGACTGAACCCTGAACCCTAGAACCCTAAAACCCTAAACCGCAGGAGCCCGCTGTCTGAGGCTCTTATATGTATGTCACAAATCTGACACACCGAGCCCACATGCAAACCCACCGCATGCCCCAAAAACCTTCTAAGTGGGGTCCAGAGTGCCCAGCAAGGACAGTGCCTCCAAGATTGCCCCAGAAACTGGATGTCATAATTGTTGGTCTTCGGGTCTTGAGATTGTTTCTGGTGTCGCGTTCATTGGAGGGATCAGAACGATCTCTCGGCAGTCTCAGACTCATGAATCTTGCGTCTTTTGGGGTTTAAGTTTTAGGGCATACAAGGAAGAGCTCGCCCGAAATCCGCACCCTTGTCCATGGCGCACTTCGTGGTGTTGACCTGGAAGCTTCTTCTCAAGGACCGGGAGTGAGGAGTTGAAACTTTTTGAGGTTCAAGCACTCTAAGCCCCAAGCCCTATGGGAGGGGCTTTTACGAAATTAGGGGTCTCCTACAAGCGCCGGGTTTATCTCGACCCACCCGGTGTAAAGTCGGCCCAACCCCTGCGGCACACAGCAAAACAAGGCAGAGGAAGGAAGTCACCCCAGGCGGTGTAAAGTCGGCCCAGCAACAGCGAAACCCCAGGGGCACATGGCTTTTGAGAGCTTTCGCGCCTTTTTACAAAAATGGCACCGGAGCTGTGCACAGTGGGTTGAGAAGCCTGAAAACAGCATTTGTAAGCGGTTTTGAATTGCGAAACTGCAGGGGCACATGGTTTTTCGGATGGTTTTGCGGCAACTTCGCATGCAGTGTGAAGGAAAATCAATTGTTTTGGGGAGGGGCATATTTGTGGCCCTGCGCGAGGGTCGCGCGACCTTGCGCGAGGCCCGCGCGAGGTAAGGCAAGGCACTGGCTTTTGATATAAAGAATAATACCTGGGCCGTTCCCCCAGGGGCACACTGGGATTGGGACAACTTCCGCCTTGCGGGGAATGCTTGCAATGGTTTCATGCATCGGAAGTTTCGGGGTTACAACGATCCGGAAATGTTCCAAAACCATGTGCACAGTACTACAAGACCGCAAAACTCTGGGTCTGATGTAATATAAGATATGTTGGGGATATGGGAAAGTAAGCCCAAACACTGCGGCACATGGGCTTGGCACGACTTCACCCCGGCAGGGTCGACTTAAACCTACCACTAGTAAGATAGACCCCAATAGTAGGATCCCCTTATAATAAGGATCCCGGTAAGGTACCCAATCTCGGACATCTACAATATATACACATTCATCCACCCTAGTCATAAACTTCAACCCCCATACAGGTTCAGGGTTTAGGGTTCAGGGTACGTAACCCTAAACCCTAAACCCTAAACCCTAAACCCTAAACCGTAAACCCTAAACCCTAAACCCTAAACCCTAAACCCTAAACCCTAAACCCTAAAGCTTAGCGTTGCAAATACCCTGCGCCGCGAGTTGAGAGCTCAGGGTTTTGGTTGCGCAGCCACTGGAGCGGGGGCTGAGATTTTAAGGCTGAGGGTGTAGGATTTTTAGTTCGGGTTTAGGGTTTAGGGTTTATGAGGTCTAAGGTTTCAGGCTTAGGGATTAGGGTTTCAGGTTTAAGGCTTAAGAAAGTTTAAAGTTTAAGGTTTAAGTTTCAGGGTTTTGCCGAGCCCACAACGAGCATCTTGAATGGCCGATTCCATGAGAATCTACTATTTGCTTAAGAACTCCAAAAGAAAACACAAACTAATCATCCCGATACTGCTCCTAAAAGGAAGAGTATGTTTTACATTTTTGGGGGGTTCTTAAACAATTAGTAGGAATGGGTATGTTCGGTAGCTTAGATTACCCCTAGAGATCTTTGAGCAGGATTTTAGGCCCCTCCCAAATTGGGGATAACCCTTTTATAATTACCCCAAATAGAATAGAACCCTCTTAAAGGGACCCCCACAAAGGGTACCACCATTTTCGGAAATCCCCCCTTCAAGGAGGTAGGGTAAGTACCGGGGCAGCGCTCCAAACTAAAAAGGGAGCGCCTTGGAACTTTAACAGAAATTTGAACCTTTACCCCAAGCCACACATGTGACCTTGAACCCTCAATTACACCACCCTCCTCTGAACAACCATAAGCCCTAAGCCCTAAACCCCAAACCGTAAACCCTAAACCCTAAACCCGAAACCCTGAACCCTAAACCCTAAACCCTAAACCAACATGAACTATGAGGCTGATGGGGCCACAAGGGCTCTCTAGTGTTTGCTGGGGAGGGGGGAGGGTAGGGTTCATAACCTCCTCAACTTCAAGCCCAGAAGCTGCGATACACCCATGAACTGCGAAACCAGGGTTTAGGGTTTAGGGTTTAGGGTTTAAGGCTTACGGTTTAAGTATGGGTTGACTACCAAGGGTGCCACGAGATCGATCACCAACCCCAGCGGTGTGCCCTGCTCTTCGCAATGCTGAAGCAGCTCCTGTTAGGGCTTGGGTTCAGGTGTAAAGGCATAAAGTTTCGGGGTCTGAGGTTTAGGGTTTAGGGTTTAGGGCTAGGGTTTAGGGTTTAGGGTTTAGGGTTTAGGGTTTAGGGTTTAGGGTTTAGGGTTTAGGGTTTAGGGTTTAGGGTTTAGGGTTTAGGGTTTAGGGTTTGGGGTTTCGGGGCCTGTTTTTGGAGCAAAACTTGAGGTGGACTTCTTGGGGTCGGCATGTGGAGTTTGAGGTTCAAGGCTGAGGGATGGGAGTTGGGAGATTCTAAGTTCGAATCGACCCCCCGAAACCCTAAACCCTGAACCCTAAACCCGAAACCCTAAACCCTAAACCCTAAGCCGGCCCTGAACCCTAAACTCTGGGCTTCCAGAAGCACGTCCCTTGGAGTGGTCGTGGACGGTTACGGTTAGGTGGCGGCGCTGGCCCTTTTGAGAGCTGTTTACATGTATGACGCTCGCAAAATGGCAAGTATTAGCGCGCACCTAGGGCCTGTTTCGGTAAATATACGAATGCTATAACCAGTAGCTTAGGGTTTAGGGTTTAGGGTTTAGGGTTTAGGGTTTAGGGTTTAGGGTTTAGGGTTTAGTGTTGGGGTTTTGGATTTCAGTGGAGGTGGTACTTCCCAAAGGTTTGTTGTCCTTCTTGGCAAACCAAGAGGCTGCATGTCTGAATCCTTTCCGAAGGCAAAGACGGCAAAGAAGGCTATACCAATTTAAGGTTTAGGGTTTAGGGTTTGAGCGCCTGCGAGCCCCGGAAGAAACAGATACGTTCTAGACCAGCATATGTCATAACCCTCTAAACCCTACTGCTAAAGACCATAAGCACTGCACAGCCTACGCCCCTACAGCTTCTAAATGCAGCCGCTAAAGGGCCCCTATTCTTATACCTGATGCACTTGCTATGCATGAAACCCCAAACCCCAGCACCTGCTTGCCGAACCACAAGTGGTCCTGTGCTGAGACTCAGATTCTGTAGGCTTTCGGGATGTCAGGCTGCCGTGCCGGGTTTTGAGGGTCGCTTGGGCTTTCGCAGGCTTAGGGTTGAGGCGTTGCACAAGGGGGTGGGAGGGTGGGGGAGGGCACTCTTAACTATGAATTACGGGGAGCATGCCTTAGTTCAGGGGTATTTTTTGGGCTCCCAGAGTAGTTTTGGCGACGTTGATCTTGCGATTGTGGGGTCAGTACTTGCTTGTACTGTAGAATTGGTTTAGGACTCCTGATCCCTAAACCCTGAACCTAACTCTCGGGATGCCTGAGGACTTGTGGTAGAGGAATCTGCCGCGTGGCTCACCCCTTTCTTTTGCTGCGGTGTAGGGTTTAGGGTGGCTGAGTGCTGCCTCAGTGAATCAATCGTCCCTTGTTTTATGTTATGCAAGTTCCAGACTCACCTGCCCAATAACTGGGAACCCCTAGCCCCCAAACCCTACTACCCTGGACCCTAAACCGCCCTAATCCCTACACGCGTCCTCAAGAAGGCCATTGTCGTATGCGCAGTCTGCCAACCAGCCCTGCAGCACGGATGCCATCGGTCAAGTTCACTCC